TCCAAGCCAAGATAAAATCCAATATGTTCTAATTTTTGCTTGATAATCTGCAGTACGGCTGCACTCGTTCCTTTTGACTGACATGCATTCATGTCTCAGGCAGGACCAGGCACCATAACGCTTCGTGTCTTGTCAAAAACGTCTCTAAATGAACAGCCCTTAATCCACTGCACGAATATATTAAGTCCTGTGGAAACTCATGTTAACTAATTAGGAAAGGTGCTTTATCCTTTTATACATACAGTAATAACAGGTGATATTACATTAAAAGGATAAATGGAATAGATGTTACAGAAAAAATACTAATTTGAGGACCACAACTGTCTCTGGAAGATCCTTTGAAAGTAAGATAAATGACATTTCCACAGAAGACTGAAAAGCCACAGATCAGTTTTTCTATAGATGTGACAGAAACACTGTCTTGATTTATGACCCTAAATAATCCTACAATTGTACCTCACTTCACATTTTTTGAAACTGTGAAATAAATATTATTAATGTTGAAATACATCGTAAACTGTTCCTTGCCCTTCAGACAGAAAGAAAAGTATAAATAATGTATTTAATTGATTCTGAGATCATATGCACAGTGGTGTAGCAGGAGAAATCTGGCATTCTGGGAAAACAAATTATTAAGGTTATAATAAAGGTCCTTCTTGTAGGTCTAATATGGGTTGCTGGAGGATATGCTGCTGAAATTCCATTACTTTTTCTACTTAGATTTATCATGCTAATCATTCTACCTTTCAGAAATGATAGCACGAGTGTTATCCAACTACTGTATGATTTCATTTGTCAAGGCTTCTGGGGTCACTTAAAGATGAATAAGAGGGGAAAAAAATGCTTTATCATTGGGTTATGTTTATACTTAAGTGGGATGGAAGTTTTTGTAATCCATTTCTTTATATTTATGGAAGAACTGGGCATCAATAGAAGGCCATTGTCGTGTATAAATGGAGTGCGGTCATGTGACGACACTGTACATTGTGATGGGCATCCTGACGCTGCAGACAGCAAGGCCGGAAGTTCCGGAACCAAGCAGGGCTACAGGTGATGCTTTGAAACCTACCCCCCAAAGGCAGGCGGTGTGGAAGGGTCAGTGGACACCTTCTTCGCTTTCTGTTTGTCGTGTCTGCTGCTCCTGGACGCTGTGCGCACGATTCCTTCCAGCACTCTGGACAGTCGAGCCAGGACAGTCTTTCCAGAGGTGGTAAATCGCCTAAACCCCTACACCAGCTCTTTGGTCTTACCAGTGTTGAGCTCCAAATGATTCTCATTACGCCACCTGGAGGATAGTGACCGCACTTCAGTCTGCTGTTTCATCTGTGGTAGTGATCAAGCCCTCTAATGTTGTGTCATCTGCCAGTATTATTTTTAACAGAATCCAAAAGAGACATAATCGTTCATGTGTAACGAGTGAAGTCACCTGTCCCAGTGACGGGAAACAGCCTTCGGGGGGGGGCACCAGTATTCAGAGTCATAGTCTTAGAAAGCGTGTTACCCATCTTAACCACCTGCTTCCTGTCAGATAGAAAATCTAAGATCCAACAGCACAGGGACTGGCTAACGCCCAGCGCCTCATGTTTATCCGACAGCTTTAGAGGCACAATCGTATTAAATGCTGATCTGTTGTTGAAAAACAGGACCTATGCATAGGTGGCAGGGGCCTCAAGTAAAGAAAAACCTGCATCCTCTATGGACCTGTGAGCCCTGTAACTGCACTGGTAAGAGTTCAGCTCACCACTGGAGAGCTGGTTGCAAACCAGTCGCTCAGAAACCTTCATGATAACTTGGGTTAGGGCCCCGGGCCTGCCATCATTCAGAGATGATAGGCGCCTTAGATTTTGCAGGCGCCGGAATACTCACTGCCAATTTAAAACATAATAGTAGCATTTCACTGCTCTCAAGAGACCTATTAAACATGTCAGCAGAAACAGGGGTGAGCAGGTCAGAGCAGCACTTGAGAGTCACTGCGGACACCAGGTCAGGTCCCGCCGTCTTCCTGCTGTGCTGTTGGAGTAGCAGACTCCTGACCTCCTGCTCCCGAATCGCAAGGGCTGGGTTCGGGGGCTCTGCTACTGCAGGCAGACTCTGCTGGTTCTCTGTCTGCAGTAAGCTGGGGTCATCGTTCCAGGCTGTGTGTTTGATTATATAGCCTGATCAGCTAGAGCCCCTCTCTGCTCCTCTAGCTGCTGATGCTAACTGAGAAGAAAAGCCCTGTTCTAGTAGGTTGTTTCTAGTAGCGCCTGTACCCTGCCTTGTGCCCGCTGCTTGCCAGATAGGTTCCAGCTCCCTCGTGACCCTGAGCTGAAAGAAGCCGTGAGAAAGTGGATGACTGGTTGGACTCCTCACATCTAGGCTGTGATATTCTCTACTCAGGAGTCCCAGCACACTTATCAGTGTACAGTGCTGCCAGCAGTACCTTACTTTCCAATTGCTTGCATGGCAGCCAGTCATAGTGTACAAGGTCAAAACATAGATTTTCTGCAATACGTTTAATTTTTAAATATGAGACTGCAGGCTGTTACATGTTATGTGCTTTTCATCAATTCATACACATTTACTTTTGCTTTCAACGTTTTCAGTGCTATAAATCCAAAAAGCTTGTCCCAGAAAACATAATATGCATACTGTACAACTGGGTGCAAATGAAAAAAAAAAGCCTTGTTAAACGATAACCTTAAGCAACAACACCAGGGCCTCGCCATAAATTGTCTATGTGGTGTTAATTGTCATATTGTAAAAGATGTATCAGAAGGTGCACTTTCATGTTGTGCCTGAGTATGCGAAGTGAAACTGCACATGGGCAGTTGTCCTAGAGTGTGTTAGTACACTTTATGGTGGTTTTTAATTGTCTTGCTCTTACTGGCACAGTATACTTTGCTTTTTCATCTGCAGCTGTTGTTCCTGTCCCCAAAGATACAGGATCAGCATTAGTGGCTGATTGTTATACAGAAATGCTCCTTATTTGCAAGTCATTATGAAGAGGCTTGCAGTGCTGTATGCCAGGGTTTATAAACACTAAAGACTGTAAATTGTCCTCCGCAATATGAATTGTACACTGAATTGGCTAAATAATTTTTGTTGTCCTCAAAGAATTCACAAACCCTCCTAGCAGTAGAAGCTGTGAATGCTGGTCAAGTCGTTAATTGAACCAATAATACAATAAAATACAAGTGAAAGAAAAAAATACTAATGGAAACATGCTTATATAAGCTTAAATGGTATTATATGTATATGCATATTTAAATAATTACATATACAGTAAATTAAAAGAAAGATTTCCAGTGGAGTTAATATGAAGCACACACTAAAGTCCAAATGTATTCATGATCTGTTTGTATCACTTACTCTAATGCTCATGAATTAATCATGAATAAACACTTATTGTGAAGTGTTACTACCAGAAACAATTCCAGACTTGCAATGGAAGTTAAAATGTCAACAAAAGGTAATCTACATTCAAATGAATTGTCTTAAATAATACCGAAATTGACCATTGTTTTTGAAGGTTTGTGTGGTGCACTTCAGAAAAACGGACATTTGGGATATATGTATATTTAACACCGTTGTACTTCATTTCACATCTTTATACATTTTAAAATGCATCATAAATTGTTTCTTACTTTTTAGACGTGAAGCAAATTGCATTGGCATTATAAATAATGCATGTAATGGCTTCTAAAAGCTTATGCACTGTGGTCTAGCATTGGGGAAGATGGTGTCTTGGGAAAGCAATTATTAAGGTTACAATAAAGGTCTTTGAGCTGAACTAGATATATCATGTTTGGGCTATTTAGGGTCATGGGGAGCCTGGAAGATGCTATACATCCATTTTTTTAAGTTAACATCCTGTTTTTTTCCTGTCTAATCAGCTTGCTCTTAAAAAGCAATGCAGCTAGATATGCAGAATCTTCTCTAGAATCAAGAGTCTCCTTCAAACTGGCGTTTTATAGTCCCTTGGTGCAGATGCAAAGAAACGAGGAATTTGCCTTTCATGATGCTCCAAAAATTGCAGAATATCTCGCTGTCAGAAAACAAAATCTTAATCAGTGCACAATGGCATCAATACTGAACAACAGTATTCATAAGTGTAGGATTAGAAAGTGGCATCAGCCAAATATTAGGCTTTTGAAGAACTGACAAGGAATAAATAACAATCTTGTGCTGTTCATTCTGTATTCTACAGCTCTCATACGCAATCTCCATACGTGACTCCATGCTGTATCCCTCCACTTGTATTTACCCTAATTGTTTTTTTTCACAGTGTACAAAATTTGAAAATGTGGTGTAGAATCTCATGAAATTTGTGTAACATTTAGTGAATCTATCTTTGCATTCCAAAAGCTGGCAATACACTTGAAACAAAAGAAGCTGTTTATTGAACACAAAGTTTTGGTAAAAAAATAATTTTAAATTAAAAAAGAACGATATCTGCTAACTGAGACAGAATTTACTTAGAGCAATTCAGACGTGTGATCCTTTTTATCTTGGCTGTAATACCGAACCTAAATATCACTTCTGGCAAATTGTATTAATATTACATTAAAAATCCTAACATTTTAATTAGCACAATCGTATGTTCTCACTTTATTCATGTTTCATTTGAATCTGACTTCTGGAAACCTGCTCTAGTATTTATTTAAAATCAGTAGCATGGTCTGGTGCCCAGTTTTAGAAGTAATACCGTACATTCAATTTGTTAAATTACTGAATCTCTTTAGAAGAGAGGAGATTATGAGGGAACTTCATCATCTTCAGGGCGCTTGATTAAAAGATGGAGATTAATTATGTTCGCCGATGAAAGGCTTGTGGAAATGCCAAGGTGATGCTGGTAGCAGAAGGCACCTCTTCCCCAGAGAGTCTCGGGTGCCTCGATGCGGAAATCAGTGCCTTGGGTCCCTACAGAAATGGGTGCTTCAGAGATTTGGGTCAGTTAGATAGCAGCCTTCAGAGGAGCCGGATGGCACATTGGTAACCTATCTGCTCCTCTTCTGCAGTGTATTGTCTGGGACTGGGATTCGAACGGGAAGCACGACTTCATAGGAGAATATCACACCACCTTCAAGGAAATGCGAGGGGCCATGGATGGCAGACAGGTAGTGTGGTCTTCGCCTCTCTGCGCCAGTCCCTGGTGAAAACTCCCTTCTTTTGCTGTAAAGGTTTCATATTCAAATGACCACAGCAGTGTTTTCACTTTATTATTGTTTATTATCTGTTTATTTCCACTTCGTAAAACACAGTAGTATTTTCACTTTTAGTGTTTCATTTACAGCTGGCCTAAGAAAATCTACTGTGTTCAGATAGATTAGACAGTGCCAGAATACCACTGCAACATCAATTAACATCCTTATTGAAGTACAGAAGTTTAAAATTGCATTTTTGAAAAGATGCCTCAGAATATCATGTCTGATTTTTTTTTATTTTATGGAACAGATTAAACCATGTTGAGTAAGAATGACGCTACACAACCATCCTATAATTTATAAATTCACATCACACGTGAAACTTCTTTATGAGTTTAGTCCGTCTGATTACTGCTGATCCTTCAGTCTCTAATGTGCATGTCGTTTTCAGCCGCATTGCTAATTCAATTGATTTTAAATTAACTGCATGACGAAGAGAAAACACAGAGAGAGGGGTCACTTGAAGTGCTGTCTATTCTTTTTTTATCCCGTGAAGTGCCCTGACAGGCACAGTGAGCAAAGGGTCAGTCAGTCAGCGCTTCATTCTGAGAGCTGCACTCATCTGCACTCACATCCCTTCAGCCTCAACCCTTTTCCCCACATTATTCACAGCCTTGTAAGGCTGCTACCGGAGACGGTAGAGTGTTGGATTTACCTGTTATACAAGGGATGAAATAATAAGCCAATACATCCGTTTTACGAATGCGTTTGTACGGATGTGAAGGCAGGGTCTTTTATTTAATGTTCTTCCTCCCAGTGTTACAGCTTCACTGAAATGTGCAGACAGGGGAGTGAAATGAAGAGGCCCCTCTTCATCTGACTCTGTGGCTGGGCACTCTCCTTATCCGTCACACATAAGGTGTAGATACAGAGCGTAAGCTGTACAGATTCTCTCAGATATCTTGTAATCTTCTTGGCATTATTAGGTGTAGGCTGTGTTGTGAAGAGATGAGAAAATATATATGTAGATTATGTGTCCATATCTTACGAGCACAGAGGCAATCTCTTCACTGTCGTTGTGCCGTTTAAAATTATTTAATTTTATTTGTTTTCTTTTGTGTTGTCAAGCATCTTTTTTGTGGTTAGTGCATCTCAAGGCTTCACACCCTGCATAAACATGATACAAAGGGGGGGGGGAATGATAGTGTGGTCTTTTCTAAATGTGCGTGTGTAAATGTAATTGTGATTTCTACGTCAATAAGTTAAAAAAAAAAGGTCAGTGATCCTGTCCAGGGTGTATCTTGCCTTGAGACCATTTCCTACTGGGCTGGACTCACCACAACTTTATATTGGGTTGAGTGATTATTGCAAATGGTTGGGTGTTAATTAGGATTTAGACATTATTGTTTGTCTTGGAAGAAAATGTCTGCGGACTATTTAAACACGTTTACCAAGTGCACGTGTTAAAAAGCAGAAACGGATGTGTGTCGCGGGGCAGCGCAGTGGTGCAGTGGCCTGCACTGCTGTCTCACAGCGCTGAGGACCCGGGTTCAATTCCAGACCGGTGGTACTGTCTGCCTGGAGTGTGTGCGTTCTCCACCCCCAGTCCACAGGCGTTCAGTACGGGACTGTAGGTTAACTGGCTTCTGAGAGAACTGGCCCTGGTGTGTGTGTGTCTGCGTGTGCCCTGTGGTGGCCTGGCATCACATCTGGGGTGTACCCCGTCTTGCGCCCCCTGCTTGGCAGGATAGGCTCCTGCTCCCCTGTGACCCTGATCGGGATAAAGCGGGGAGAAAATGGAGGGGTAGACTTGTGAAGCTGAGTTGAAGGGAATGGGAAAATCTCAGATTTCTGATTGCTTTCAGATGAAGGGCATTAAGATCTCTAACTACACTCCTGGCTGTTGATTGACTCAGATGAGATGGATATTTCTTTAGCAGCCTCTATAATAGAAGTTGTTCTTGCTTACCAGAGAGCATGTAAATCAACTCAGCCGCCTTAGTGTCACTTTTTAGTTTCCTCTTTCCTGTGATGTTAGAAGAAAGGAATAAATAAAATCTGAAAACCAACATACCACATAACTAGCAGCTTAATGACCATTGGCACCAGTCTGTCCATTTTATCAGCTGTAAATGGCAAATGTCTGTCCCAATTGTCTGAGGGATTTACAATCATGCTTAATTATTTAAATATTTCTGTGAAGTCAGCCTTTAAATGATAGATTAGATCACCGAATTCACATCACAAGTCCACAGGTTTTCTTAGAAATCCAGCTTTAACCAGGGACGTGTTGCTTGTTCCTGCATTAAGAATCACAAATGCATGCTAAGATGAACAAGTAACAAATATTTTCAAGGTGCCAAAATTTCCCATGTTTCAGGAAAGCTGAAAGAGATAACTCGTACTCCTTTTTGGATTATGAAGAAATAATTTAGTAGCTGCTTGTGAGTAATTGCACTATTTTGAAATGTACAGTATGTGAAACCTCATCATTACTGGCATCAATAGCCTTCGATGATTAAGGCAGATGAGAAATGCATAATGAAACTGACCAGAGAAATTGAAAATGGTGAGAAGCTGCCCACAAAGACTTTGCTGATTGGAACCCAAAGAATTACTTTCCTCTTTAAAAATACCTATTGGAAACTAGAAACTCAGCATGAATATTTTATTCATGAGGGAAATAAATGAATTTCAGATGTGAACCTCACTTGCAAAAGAGGTAGATTCTAACACAAGATAAGAGTTGTGAATATATCCTAGAGTGTCTTCCATTATTAAATAACGGAAAGGAAATAGTGCTTGAGAAGGAAGCAAACTGTCACAAAATGCTTTCTAAGCAATGAACCATATAACACTAATGAGACAATCACACCATTTGGGGCAAGTGGAAGACTTAGACTGTGATGAATAATGTGCATCTAATTTTGTGTGCATAGCTCTGTTTGTGTTTGTCCTGCTAGCCAGCTGTTCAGGAGTTCTACGAGTGCAGAAGGCTGCCATGTATTTTACATCAGGCTTCCTGTGTAATTCTGGTTTAGATGACAGAAATGACAAATGTGCAGTTAAAAATACAGCAAACAAAGTATGAGTGTACCAGTCCCATAAACAGATGACGTGCCATGAACACATTTACCCCTTAGATAATACAGATTGTGTGAGACAGTAAGACCTCCGTGCTCTGTTTTGTACCTTGTGTGAACTTTTCATTTAAAGGGCTTTAAAGCTGGGTAATTGCATTAGACTTTTATTATTAGGGAAGATTTTTCATTTACCATGATTTTGGACCACGTTGACCTTTGTCAGATTTTTACCAGTCATAATCCTTTCAAATGTATAGCAGGTCATTGTGAGTCTTACAGTTGCATTGTCCTTGTAACAGGATAAGTTGTTACAATGATAACAGCCCTGTCCTTACTATGTTCTGATCCTGAAATGGCATAACAATAACCTAAGCAATACATTTGAAAAGAGATGAATTTGTCTTGGGCTCCGGCTTCCTCCCACAGTCCAAAGACAGGCTGCTGGGCTAATTGGCTTCTGGGAGAACTGGCCCTGGTGTGGGTGTGTGTGTCTGTGTCTGTTATGCCCTGTGAAGGATTGGCACTCCGTTCAGGGTGTACCCTGTGCCTGCTGCTTGCCAGGCTAGGCTCTGACTCCCCAGAAACCCTGTGTTGGATAAAGCAGTTAGAAAATGAATGGATGGCTTAAAACAAAGCACAACTTCTGCAGTTTATCTCGAATACAGTTTTAGAAGAGAGGAGACATTGTGTATTTTAGAACTTTAGCCAAGACGTTTTAAATGGTACGTGAAACAAACAACTGATAGAGACATTGAGAGGAGCATGAATGAGATAAAACCATCTGAGTGCTCATCCTTTTCCGGATGTCAACAATTCGTTAATTTCAGCATCAGATTTAGCTGTGTAGAAACATCTCTCTTAATGCACATTCACAAGATGGTCTTACCAATGGATTTTTCATTAGAAAAATTGATGGATTTGTTATGTTATGTAATTTTATGGTGTCAATTAAGTGCCGTAATGTACTATGATAGACACACAAGTAGTCTACAAAAGGACCTGTCTTTTTTACATTCTAATATGATAACAGCTTTATTCCTATATTTTTTATGATTTATATTAGATGCAGTGGGAGTGTATAAATCCCAAATACAAAGTGAAGAAGAAGAATTACAAGAATTCAGGAATTGTGATTCTGAATCAGTGCAAGGTAAAACCAGTATCTGTTTAATTAATCCCCTCTCATTCTTTATATTAGGTTTATCAATCTGGCTGTGACCTGAAATGTTACAAAATATGCTGGTTTATAAAAGGGCTAATGGAAACAAAAGGTTAATTTCACCGTTTTATATGAATATTTGTACGTGGGCGAGTAATAAAAATGTGACATATGTGATATGTTATTGAGAATACAGTATGTATCCTACTGTAAGTGTGCGGAGTGTGAATTTAACATAGGAGTCCACTTTTCTGAGTTGCTTCCCAATTGGATTTGTCTTTGGAAAGCACACTTGGCAAGCTCCTCTAGAGAGCTTCAAATCTCCTCCCACCTAGGATTCAGTAATTGGTTGGAAATGTTGAAAATCAATATGGAACATGCATGAGCAGCTGGCTATTTAATAGAGAGCAATGCAAAATGAGTCAGAAGTAGTGAATGACTGATACACCCTGCTGTGTGGTCTCTTCAGAAAGAGAACCTCAGTCCTTGATCTTAATGAAGCTGCTATTGTGTGTAATAGTTCTAGGCCATGTTTACTTACAATATAAATTTACTTGAACCAGTTTTGCCAAATGTCTCCTCTGCAAAAGCAAAGAACAGTTTGCGAGTTTTCTTTAGCATGTTCTTGTTCATGCCTTGTTTTTATGTGAAATGTGGGTTCCATATGGATTTCTGTCCAGTTGGGATGAGTATAGAATTCACCAAAATACGGTAAATCTTAAACTTCAAAGTACAATTTAAAAAAAAATCATACATTATTTGCAGATCCACAAGATGCATTCATTCCTAGATTACATTATGGGTGGATGCCAGATCCAATTTACAGTGAGTATGATGTCCTGTATTTAATCTCAGTCTGGTGAGAAGTTATATATTCATTTTTATAAAAGCATGTTGTCTGCAATTTAGATGTTTAAGTAAAATAATATATTATTAAAGCTTTCCATTTCATATGCACACTATCTAGCAACATTTCATTGAAAACCTGTTGAATAAAATATTTAATCCATTTTTTAGGTTTAAAGATTTAAGAAAATTTATTCTGAATACACCTTGATACCTGTTCTGTTTTGTTTCGTTAATAATTGCATTACACGAAGATGGTTATATATAAATACTTATCATTTATATCATTTGCTGTCATAATTTGTTTTAACTATGAACATTTTCATGCTGCTTAACTGCACCAAAAACTGTAATCTAGTGGGTTTTGATTTCATTAACTGTTTTTTTGACAGAGTGGTCAGATACTTTCTCTCTCCTTCAGAACTTTGTTGTTGAATCTCTCATGCTCTTATTTTGTGTGTGTACCCATTTTTGTACGTATTTGTATTCATTGTATTTTTTTGTAGTATATTTTGCTCAAATATATTACATATTAATTTTAGACAGTGGACCATGTGAGGACATGCCTTCAATAAACCTGTGCTGATATATTCATATTTGTATGGAATTGCTGGAACATTTCCATGGATAGACACAGTCTTTAAATAAAACAACTCCTTTTTGTTGTCAGTAAAAAAGAGTTTAATTTCAAATGACAATTACCAATTACTTAGTTTATAGTACAATTCAAATCTGCCGTGTTTTGCAGTATTTATATTTATAGTATGCAGCTGTCCACATTTCCAGAAGTGTTAATAAATGTGTAAAGTAACACATCTTATATAAGAGAAGAAGTAAATATACCAGCTGTGAGAATCTTGTAAAGACAAAAAGACTATTTTGGACTCTTTACAGAATAAAGAATAAAGGGGTAGAAGCTGTTTATAACAGCATTGCTCTATTAACACACCTGCTCATTAGCTTATCTTGCATAAAAGAGTCATTATCTCAGCAATCTAAAAATCCCCCCAAAAATGTAGGTAGCATCTTTTATTCCTCTACAGAATTAACATCAAAAGCATTAATTAGCTATTGTACAGTCATCAGGCAAAACAAAGAATCTCTGCTTCCAATCCAGGCAATAAAAAAGTTAAAATAAATAAAAAAGTTAAGAATAACTTTAAAGGGTTACTATTTCTGTTCTTTTATTTTTAACTTCATTTTATGCCTCAGTGTTTTATATTAATGTGTACATAAATACAAAGATTAAAAAATGATTCGCAATTACTAACTCCAGATGAGGAAGCAGCTCATTCATGTGATAATTATCATATTGTGCTATTAAAGTTAAAGGCCTTTGTTATGCTCAGGAGTATGCATAAATTACAAGTAATTGGTGGTGTTCACCAAAGTTATTACTGTTTGTCTTTTAGGTAGCAATTGATTTTACAGCGTCGAATGGAGATCCACGAAACAGCTGTTCTTTGCACTACATCCATCCCTATCAGCCTAATGAATATCTGAAAGCTTTGGTTGCTGTTGGGGAGATATGTCAAGACTATGATAGGTAAGTATTGAAAGTGAGGTTCGGACCCAGAACATCACTTGAACAGATCAGTGTTAAATAACTCCACAGTGTTTGTATTTAGACACATAATATCCACAAGCATTTTGTTACAGGTCAAACACTCAAATCTGTTGTCTTCTACTAGGGAGACAGTTGAGAGCAGGCATACAGAGAAAACGGCTTTTCTACAGCATTTGTTCTTAAACCTTTAGAAAGGGAAGCCTCGCACAATTCATTGTGAAATTCTAAATTTATCCCCTATTTGTATCCCACAGGAGAGTGAATGAGGATATCCGAGATGTTAATTTGTGTAAAACATGATTCCTCTTGTTTTTGTGAAAGGGGAATGCGTTAGAACACAGCACAGAAAAAGAGTTGTGAAACGTGGAGGTGATTCTAAATTCGATTCTTTGTTGTTTAACATGCTACAGTTAAACAGCTGTGATAATTACAGTGTATTTATCAGTTCGGATTTTAGGATGTTAGGGTGACCATGCTGCAATATAATATAAAGTGTAATATTTTTGAGACTCTAACCACCAAGTGTCAAAGTAAAAAGGAAAAGCTTTTCTTAGACATCCATATTTTAATACTTTAACTTTAAAACCAGGGGGAATCGTCCTGGTGAATTATTTGTGATGATGGGGTTAACATGGGGGCAGTGGCTGAGATTCTTCAAGGTTGTTTACAGCCTTTGAGTATCTGTCCATGAAGTGCATTACCAGATCAGATTTTTACACAGTTGCAGAAACACTCATAAAATTCTAAAGCTGCATTGCATAAGCAAATCATATGCTTCTTTGACCAGTATTTTTATTTTTCTTTGAGCTGTTTTTATTTTTTCTCTACTTTCACTCAACAGCGGTGTTTCTTACTGGCCACATTAATTGCATCATGCACAGTAAATTCTTGTTCAGCACTGTGTGTCTTAAAACTAAACTAGAATGATAAATGTGTACTACTGGATATAAATATAGCAAGCCCACAAAACAGCAACACAGCTGGAAATAATTTTTACAAAGTCTGTAAAAAAGTGCAGCACCTGTAAATTTCCATTGAGAGTAAGTGAAAAGTGCTAAAAAAAAAACTTCCCAGATGGATTATCACTGCTGCATTTTGTGAAACCCTTTGCCAGTGTCCTTTCCTGGTAATCCTGCTCTCATACTGAACAAGTTCCAATTCCATTGCACATCTAAGCTCGTCTGGAATGTTTGTAATGGTTAGGATGCAAATGTTTGGTGCAATTAATGAGCACATACAGTACTGGAGATGGAACAAGTAAAGGCTTATTCCATGATGAAAAGAGAAGAAAAGAAACACAGTGTTTCGTCCACATTGTGTTTCTTTTCTTCTCTTTTCAGCAGTAATAAACCTCTACTTGTTCCTTTGCAGCCTACGCATGCTGACGCAGCTCCCTTGTTGAACTACTTCAGTACTGGAGATGCCACTGACTATCGACGTGTCCAGTGTGCAGAGTGACCGACAGTGCAAGCAATAGAAATACTGAAGGAACACATAAGCTAAAAATCTCAGAGCTAAATCTGGAATAGCATACTGTAGGTGTGTAGACGGGTAGCATTAGCATGGATTAGTATGGTAAACAGAAAGTTAAATATATACAGTAGGAGAAGGTGTAAATGTGTACTACTGTATACACATTTACTTTATACACACTACTGTATTACACATTAAAAGGACATTCTTAACTGAAGTTCAGGAGGGATGAAGACAAACAAGTGTGATCATAATCACACACCTCCATTTTGCATGTTGCCTCACGCTGTCCTGCTACACCCCATCTCCAACTTTGCAGCCCACTCCTGGGTTAAGTCCTCTCTGAATGGGGGCCTCAGCCTCTGTGCTCTGTGGCCAGATGGATTAAGCCAAAGCTTTAACTCTGTTTAGATGCATTGCTGGAAGGAAACACCTCCAAGTTCTCCCAGACACTACCAATTCCAGCACCAATATTTCACATTGATTAAAAATGGACAGTAGAGTGCAACAAATCACCTTGTACAGTATTATTCACCAACTTGTATTCTCAATGGATACACAAAAACAAACCAGAGAAAAAACAGGCTGTAAACTTATACTTACACAAATTAACAGCAGAAAGTGTTCCTCTTCTAAGTTAGTTTGCATTTAGGGTATGTTGATGAGTGATGACTAATTAAAAATTAAATGCAAGAGGTAGATCTCACACAGAGCTCCCTATTATTGGTACAATCAAGAAGCTCATTTATTCATGTAAGAACAGGTCATTAACAGTTTTCACTAGAGAAAATCTCATATCACTTCCAGCTTGCTAGGATTAAAATCAAACAACGTCCTTGCAGAAACTTCCTCTCCTCTGTGGAATGGATCTTTCCAGATGGCAGAGGGTGTGAAGTGTGTGCCTGAGACAGAATTAAACAGTGTATTTTTGCTGATTCAGTTCATCTGAATCTTCCCTGGCTTAATTTTCCATTTGTTGTACAAAGAAATCTATGAAAATGACCTTGACTTTGGCTCAGAATAGCTTAGGCCGCCTCCAACATCGATTTGTAATTCATATCTTTCTTAGCAAATTTAAGACTGCCACTCAGGTACAATTACATGATGCGAGGCAGGCTGTAAACACTGATTTCTGTATTACACTAACATTATTCTAACGTATTTTGAGCTACTAGGCCACTGAGGATAATGTGGCTTAATGTGAAGTCAATGGATTGGCTTCAAACTAAAGAGGACTGTGGTGCCCATGACCTTTATAACAATAAAGCAGAACATTAGAAAGAGGTTATACAGGAGGGGTACATTACAAGATCCAAGACTACAGTGCAGTTGCAGTTCAAAAATGAAGTTTACAACCAAACTGATAGTGGCACAAATTTGGTAAGAAGATTAATTTAACCTTAAACCTGATATAACCAAAAACAAAACTTACCGTATTTTTACCGTATCCTGTCGAAAGAAGGAAAAGTATACTTTCTTTGTCTTCTTCTATTTAGTGACAAAATGTTTCCTGCATTTGGTTTTGGAGCAAGAATACCACCTGACTTTAAGGTAAGACATACAGTATGCTTTTTAGTTACAATGCAAGTCTCAGAGGACACATATACAGCACAGTACAAAACATGAATAAGCTCCTTCTTATTCAGTGGGACTGATTTCACTGTTTGGATTGCCGTCCTTACTGCTAAACAGAGAATATTTCATTTATATTTGCAGAACAAAATTTAGACCAAACCATCAGGTATTCTCAGTTTTTCCAGGGAACCCAGGTTTTAATGCTGTTCTACCAAGGAAATTCTTAATATAAGCTAAAGTGTTAAACAGAAAACCACAAAGACTAGATCAATTTCCGTTGCTGTGCATTATTAAAGAAACTCTTTAGATAGCACCAGAGTTATGTGGCACTCCTCTGCAGCAGCTGCTCATTAAACTTGTTTACCTGCGTACTGACGATGTGTAGATTGAGCTTCTGCTCAGTTTCCCCACACTCTATTTTTCAACTACATTATACATCATTCTGAAGAGGTTAGAGGCAGGAGCTTTGTCAGCTCGGGGGGCTCCACAGTTTTCTAAATTGTTTTCAGCACAATTGTAATGCCACGCCTTGATGCAGACTGGTCAGTTTTGCGGTCTTAATTGAATTCTAACCTAGAGAATCATTACAGACCAATTTCCATAATGACGATAGCAAAGAAGAGGTATGTTCTGTAGATTAATAAAATATTTGCAGTTTTTATGTGTTGAATTAAGCCTCTCATTTTAGCCTTAATGGAACAATCCACTTCAGCACTTTTATGAGGAAACTTTACCGGGTATATGGCTACCAGTAGATTCATTTACAGCTTTGAGCCCTTTACATGCTATTAATTTATTAGCCCAATATACTTTGTATGTACTTTATTTTTATGTCTCTTAGGTGTCTCATGATTTTGCTGTGAACTTTAATGAAGACAACCCAGAATGTGCTGGTGAGTTTTTTTTTCCATTGCTTACAGTCATGCTGTGTGCATCCACACTCTGCTGTATGTTGAAAACAGTTTCTTTGCTGTTTTTGTTTCTTCTCACAACTGCCCACTCTCACCTGGTGCAATGTAACTTACAGTACGTAATGTAGTTATCTTACACAACAAGTAAATGATCTTTATGTTTACCATAGTATATTCAGTCAGAATTTTGTTTCTTATCCTAGAAATCTGTTATTTGTATAAATTCTGTTAACACACTGAGTTAGAAAACATTTGTAATAACTTATAATTCCAGTCCATACATTTTGCTGTATTATGGATGCATGTTATGAAACTTTATCTGTTAGTGTTGTGTTTTGCACAAAGATCAGCTAGTGTGTTCTTTCTTTTGGCCTTATCTTACATGTACATATTTTTCCATAAGGAAATTGATGTGACACCAATGCGATTCTGTATTCCACACATTGCCATTGCAGTTTGAACATGCTATGAAAGCACAGCAGCAAGGTGCAGTGCTGTTGCAGTATGGCCGTACTAATACCGTGCAGGCAGTCTCGAAAGACAAAGGCCGAGAATGCCACGTGTTTCCAAATCTGTGCCGATTGACATGTCTTCTGTTTCAGTCAAAACATTAACTCATAATTCAGAGTGTTTTATAATAGATGAATAATGAGTTTTAAGAGTGTAAGGACAAATCATTGTAACATCTGCATTTAATGTTGTTAAAAATAGATTTGCTTGTGTCTCTTTGCAGTCTGTGAAGTGCCATTTTTATCATCTATAGACAGAGCAGCATTCGCATAGTGGGAACATAACATACAGATGGAGGCTTTGCAACAGCTCATTGACATACTGAATGAGAGAATATCTAAACACTTCTGAAACAGATCTTTGGAATAAATATACAGTTTATATACAGATAATGGTAGATAAAAGAAAAAGCATTGGACGGGAGAATAATGTTGAGAGATTAATATATCACACAAACTGACAAGAACAATGAAAAATGAATATTGGCAGTAAAGAGGCCACTGGAGCACTGTAAGCTAGAGAGTCTTCAGCCCATTATATGAAGCAAGGGCACAAGACGACCATAAAGATTTAATCTGATTTGAATATGCAGCTTCACGTGGAGGGGAATTTGAGTTTTGGGACATGTGCTGGGGATAGAGTAATTGCACAGATGTTCAAAGTCAAAGGAAGAGCATTTCTTTTGTTTTGTTTTTTGTAATATTTTAAAAAGGCCGGAATGCTTCATTCCTCAAGTGGAAGAGAAAAGAACTCGAAAAGTCCTATTTTGCAGAGAGATCTCCCTGCATGCACCCCTAAGTGCATTAAGTTTTCTCTGCCAGCATATGATTTGGGTTTTTTTGGCAAATTGAAATTACTGATCAAGCTAAAAAATTAATAAGTCAGGGAGAGACTAATGGAGTTGCAGGCTGAGGCTCTAGGTTATTCTTCTTTTCTGTTTCATTTTACACTAGAGATTTAATTGAATTCATCAGGAAAAAAATATTAAGTACAGTCTACAATAGACAAAAACATGTTTTTCTTCTTCAATTTAGAGAGAACTGCGGTGGTGTCATAGAAATTACTGTGTTCTTTTCCCATAGTGCTTTGGTTGATGGGCAGTAATATGTATTTAGCTTTATGGATGAACTTTTAAAAATGAAACTTTTAAATGACATTTTCACAAGGTGGTTGTTGCTCAGATAATTGTTGAAATTGATAGGCTGATGTTGCTCAGAGGTACTTAGGATCAATACACTGTATCCTGGGTGAAGTACATTGACAATTTAATTCCATTAAACTTTAATGTGGCTGGAAAATATGCAGCTTTTGCAAAATTCAGTTTGTTTACAGAAGTCTGATTTAGACCAGTTTATACAAAGATCCCAAAATTCTAAACGATTTCTTACCTAAATAATCATTTTAAATCATGAAAGGTGCTTTATTTTGTTTGTGGTTTGTGTTGATTAGTAATTATTCTCACATACATTTTAAGTTTTACCAGAGCCATTAGTAAGTTATTGCTCTGGCAAATGTGTAAATGTTGATTGAATTAATCTATTTATTTTCGGATTGTCTGCCAAATTAATTTTGAAAATACAAATCATCTGAAGAGGACTTAATGGCCAGTCTCCTGCTTTCTGTTTTCTTTTCCAGACTTAGAGCCATTTTCAAAAAGATTTAATTATCGTGTTAAAAACTTGGGTTTTTCCTTTTGTGAAAACAAGGTAGAACAGAGTTTGGACAAATAGAAATCCTACAGTTTAGGAGATTCAAAAGACATTCGAGCATAATGAATTTGTATTCGCAATGGCAATTGGCTTGCCACCAGAGGCCTCCAGTGAGACGGACAGAAATAATACGCTTGTATTTATCTCGCCTGTGTCTGTAATTAGAGAACTAATTGAGTGGCATTCTTGCGTGGGCTTGTTTGGACAAAGGGCTGTGTTGCAGCAGTCAGAAATGGAGTGGTGTTAGTTGAGAGAGGCAGGGAGCTGGGAGATCCGAGATAAAAAGTTAGAGAGCTGGGAGAAGTCTTTTATTGTTCTACGTAAAAATTTACATTTGTAAAGCCTGGAACATCTTGGGCACATGGCTTTACAGGCAGGCTTACGTCAAAGGGCAGTGCCAGACTTCAGTAACACATCTTAACATATCTGTAACACTGTACAGTATATGTAATTTTATATGGACAGTTTGAACAAAAGGAGATTTTTTTGCAGGTGTTCTTGTGACTGGCTGAATTTTCAAAGATGACACTGATTTTACTCCCTGATTCACCCACATGCCCCACAGAACCATGTGTGCTGTGTCCAGCCAGGCGTCCTTAAGTTTATTCCTCTTTGGGAAGGAAAATACTGAGCATTTCAGGTGTGTCAACTTTTAGTGCCGTCCATAGGAAGCAACACTTTACCAGGATTTAAATGGTTTCAGCAGGATTCTTACCAGAAAAATACTCCAAAGCCCCAGGGAGCCTGCCGACAAACCACTCTGGACAGGCACATATGGAACAAATCTGTTCAGAGCACTTTCAGCATGGAAAGCAAATGCTGAATCACAAGCTTCAGTACGTAAAAAACACAGCCGACATAGTGTAGGAAGACACCCGACACAAAGTCATAACAGGACATAATCTACAAAAAATAAAATGTGGTACACTGAAACAAAAGAAATACCTGCCATGATATAATGATACATACAACATTGATGATACATTAAGTGAAGTTGATTCCAACTGTTTAGATTACTGGTCAATTAGAATTTCCTCAAACCAAACACCTATGGCTAATTACAGCTCCCTGTAATTAGTGGGGCTTCCCTGGGTCCGGAGAAAATATCAGACATGAAGCTTAGCATGGGCTTCCTCCAGGTGCTCCTGTTTCCTCCCATCGTCCAGAGACATGCTGGCAGGTTCATTGGTTTCTGGGAGGGTGGGACCTCAAGAGGCATTCCCCAGCGGAGAGAGCTTCTGCTGAACTTTATTTAAGCTCATTTGTGGCTTCAGGCTGCAAACACAGTGGTGAAACATGGAAGAGCCATAGATCTGGTTGGAGCTGTCAGGTGCTTCTGTACAAGTAACATTGTGATTCAACCTCCCTGAGGTGCAGAGCTGCAGTCTGTGCATGAGTGTGGACGATGGATCCCAAAATATTGACTATGGAAGGCATTTTCTGGTGAATCCTGATACTGCATCCCCTTTGACATGCGGCATTTTCCATTCAGCTCTGTTTCGTGCTCATTTGGTATCTGAGACTGGTATTCTACCTGTTGTTACAGCAAGACAGATATCTGTTTCATCCCTTAATCTTAAAATGTGACGTTTCTCTTCCCAACTCAAAGACCTCCCAACTCAGCTCAAAGACTACATCATTATGACGATCACCGTACTGTAGTTCACTGACCCACTGTAATGCCAGATTGTACCACAGACAAACACTAATACGACAAGTTAGATAAATTCCATGGCACCAAATTACGTTTCCTTTATCTTGTAATAAAAAATTCTAAACTTTTCAAGCATATATGCACAGAAATATCCGGAACTAAAAGGTGACATTCTGTGCTTTTGCCTCATATTAATCTTTGCATCTCACTGTGTGATTAAACATCAGAAATAGCAATTTTGACTTCACTGTTCCTATACTTATGGCAGGCGGCATATATATGTCAATGTTTTATGAAAGCTTAAATAATTTAGTTTCTGTAAATGAATAACAGGGACATGTATCACATGAATAACAAATGCGTTTGCAGTCACAAAAGCAGATTGCAATTAAATTAATTTGTTTGTTAATAACCTAGGGATATTAGTGCCTGGCTGCAAGGAGAACAAATGAACTGAAAAAGCAGACCCGCATTGTGGGTTTTTTTAAATGCCCCAAACAGGTTGATGAGGCCATCCACCAAATCAAAGTGTTCAAACAACAGAGTTAAAACCGTTATTCGGTGCATACAGAAAACATCAATGTGCCTCCCTATAAATGGGGTATTTCAAAGCCTTCTGTAGGCCTTCTGTTTTGAGTGGTATTATCCTCACCTACCAGGAATACTTGCATTTCCTGACCTTTTATTTAATTAATATTTTATACCCTGAAATGGCTCCTTGTTTATGAGACTATTTGAAGTTAGTTTTTGAGTTGTCGTATGCTGCTTTACTGATTAAGGATTTATGTGTCATACACTTGCAGCTGATGCAGTGATTAAAAAATATTACAGTTCATGATAAAGGGAATAAATTGTCTGGCTGGGACATATAAATTCTAAGTACTTTTGTCCCAGAAGGTGTTTTAAAGAGCGTCTGCACACTTGCTACTTGACATTTTGTTTTGCATTTGCAGACTTCAATTAGATTTACGCCATCGGTATTGCCGGTCTTGACATAATTATGCACTCGCTTTTGAAAGTCTTGGCTTTTGACATTATTGGACATAACTTTTTTATAATAATTAATATTCCAGCCAAGTAAATAATACCTGAACATGTTGTCAATAATATGACCTTAGAAGAAAAGATGGTGAGGGTTATCAATGTCATTACAGTTCAAGACTTATTTTATACAATGTATAAAATAAGATTCTGAAATTAATTTTGTAATGTTCTGGTTCAAAATATATGATCAAAGTACTTGGTTAGCTAAGAGACCATAAAGAAGAGTAAATGTGTTTTTGCAGAAAATTATTACCAGATAAAGAAATAACTTTAAGTAATAAATTGACACACGAAATATATAAAACGTGATATGTAAAGCACAGTCTTCACTCTCAAAATAAATGTACACATTTGCAATGCATCTTCCATTCTTTCTTTTTTTTAAATCAAACATCTGTGGAACATTTCTTATAGTTGCTCCAGATGGTGCCGTGAACTAGAAATGACTTGTAGGAATCTGAATGGGCACTTTAGTTTGTTGGCTTAGATGATTTGGTGTGTATACAAATAGTTTGTTCAGTTAATCAGGTTAACATTGGTAACATTGTTAAGTTTCTGAGCTTTAGATCTTTGTCAATGGTGGTTTTCTATTTGAGATGTCAGAGGTCCATTCCTATTCCTGTTTCAACTTTATCATTTACTAGTGGTACTGTAGCTATTTTAATGCTGACATGAAAATTTGTTACGAAAATGAGTTGTTGAATTGTAAAATTGTTTGGGAAAAACCTACCCCAAAAAACAGCTGCAAACATTATGAGCACAGTTCTGTTTTCAATTTTAGCTTTCAGAAAGTTGTTTTCAAAATACTCTATATGGTTACTTTATAAAAACATTTTATAGGTGGCGATTAAAGAGTCTAAAGACTGGAGCAGTCTGATTGTGATCAGTTAAACAGCTGATTTGTTAAACTAAGTAATTTAGAGACCATTTGGAACATGTCACAAAACCCTCCAGCCCTCAATGACCACAGTTAATTAAGAAGTTAATTGAACATGTTTGTTACTAGATTGATCAATAAGTGTTCCTAATCTTCCCACAAACAGGTGATGTTTTTCCAGTTAGTCTAGAGAGATGTCCCCTGGAGACTGTCTCCAGTTCCAGGGCTGATAACCACTGCTTTGGAAGAGGCATTCAAATTACTTTATAATGTTCTTGTGTATCCACAGGGCTGTTATTGCTTTGCATGATGGGGAAGTGTGTAATGAATAGATGTGTGCTGAACAGTAATGTGGCCAGCCTCTAAGGAAGTGTATTCCAAAAAGTCCTTATCTTATCTGGATGTATCCAATTGCACTATCCTTGAATATATCTGTTAGGAGTCCATGGACAGTTTCTGGAAGTAGACCAAATAAGACCAAGAATACTGGAGCATTCCGTTCGAAATCCAGCATGGTTCTGTATGAATGTCTTGGATAAGACATTTGGGCGGGAGGGGTCAGCGCTGTGGCTTGAGTGTAACTGCTGCTGTTTTACTACTCTTGGGTCAAAGGTTCAATTCCAGACTGGGACTGCTGCAGTGTGGAGTTACCTTGTTATACCCTTCTCCATGTAGAGTTTTCCCCAGGTGCTCAAATGTCCTTTCTTCTTCGACAGACATGCTGTCTGGGCTAATTAGTATCTCTGATCTATCCCTCTTTCTGCGCCCTTGCACTGCGATGGGCTGGTGTCTCTTCTGAGATGTAGTCCTGCCTGGTGCCCTGTGTTGTGACACTTTTCCATGACCAACTGTGAGATCACACAGCTGTGGATAATGGAAGATTGTCCTGCTGAAATTTTGCAGACCATTAAGGGTTAAAAAATGGATGATTTTATTTTGACACAAGGTCTTTAGGATGATTCCTTGAAGGTTTTAAATGTTTCAAAATAGCTCCTTCCTTCTGAAAAAAACACACCTTGTTCTAAGGACATACAGTATAGTTTTAAAGGTAATGATCAGAGCCTCGATACTCAAGGGAACACCCTGTAAAACTCTGATTAATATTAAGGTATTATTGCATAAACATCTGATATTTGCATAAAGGAATTAAAATATCCTCGTACAATTTAATTGTTCCACTTTGCTTCTTTTTTACTCAAAGGTATACAAGGGGTTGTTGAAGCTTATCAGAACTGCCTTCCGAAAATTCAGCTCTATGGGCCAACAAACATTGCCCCGATTATTATGAAAGTGGCCAACTCCGCGTCCGAAGAGATGCACACAAAGGAAGCCATGGTAAGAGGAACTGTGAAGGTTAGGTTTTCTCCTGTCATTGTCCCGAAAATACTCTTTCTCTTTAGCTTTAGTGATTCTCATATACTGTAATTCAATTTTAATATTTTTTCACACAGATTCTGCCATGAGCGTAACATCACTGTAGAACACTTCTGAGGACACTCAAAAATATTTTTTTCAGTTCCCCACTAAGGTAGACTCCTTGATGAAACTTTGAGTTGGGCAGAAGTCGTATTGTAATGGAGCTTATCATTCGCTTGGGCTCTGAGGATGAAGTCATTCGCAAACCTGGCTTGACTCACTCATGACTTACAGTAGCTTTCTGTAGTCTGCCAGCCAGGAATTCATTATTCTGCTGGTTCAGCTCTTTGTGAAAGGGTTTAAGAATGTTAAATCCAAAATCTAATCTGTCTGACATTTCATGACACGAACTAACCCTGCTTCCTCTCGTGACAGCAATACTTCATCCTGCTGATCCTGACGGACGGAGTGATCACAGACATGGCCGACACCAGAGAGGCGATTGTCCATGCCTCCCATCTCCCCATGTCTGTCATCATCGTGGGCATCGGCAACGCGGACTTCAGCGACATGCAGATGCTGGACGGGGACGATGGCATCCTCAGGTCTCCCAAGGGTGAACCGGTTCTTCGGGATATTGTGCAGTTTGTGCCGTTTAGGAATTTCAAGCATGTGAGTTCCGTTTTGTTTTATTTTGTCACCATGTGGTGTAATGTTACAGTCCTGCTAATTCCACAAACGTAACTTTGACACATTGCTTTTAACCTATGCCATATTTTATATGTGCTCAGATTCACAGCATCTCTCAGAACATTTAGTGAAGAGTCTGCAAAAGTGTTCAATTTTAATTTGTGAAATGAGAAGTACATGCTTTTCATAAAAACCATATGCAATCAAGTGTTTTTCCTGAAGTATCTTTTCCAGATCCCATCAACACAACACTTCCTGGGTCCGTCTGTGTGATCTGTGCTTGTTTGACCTGATTTTTCAAATTGGTTTAGGTCTGTTCAGGCAGGCTGCTGCTCAAATCAAAAGAACACCTTGCAGAACAATTAATTAAGGGGGATTTGGATAGCTCAGTGGTAGAGATGCCACAGGTTAGTTACATAATCAGCTCATTACTATTCTGAGGAGGCCATGCAGAATATGTATAGAGCTGAAATGGTACTAAATATGCTCTCTGTTAATTTCCTCAGCTCTCTTAATGTGACAAGATTTAATGATTCAAAGCATAAATGTACTCACTGCTAATTACCGCATGCACTCTTAAACCATAATGAAAAAATAATTAATAGTTGAACAAGATGACATGGGAGGTTTAGTATCAATAGGTCGTAGATGTGATTGATTGATTCTAAAATGCTCCATTGCTCTTTGGTAATAGGGGAAGATGAGGAGGCGGCCAAGACAAGAAATAGCTTCACACCGAGAAAGTCTGTGCAGCCTGGACTCCACTTAGGGTCTTGACACAGTGGCGTACGTTTAAAATTCAGAGCAGAATCATCATTCATGCCTTCGAATAAAGCCTGTTACGAGAAATTATTGATTTGTCACTTGTGCTTTTAAAGTTGCCATATGAAAGAATCATCATCCTCTTTACTTTTTACTCATTTTTATCCACAACTAAATAAAGGAGTCAAAGCATGATTACCATATCTGTTTTTTAGTTAGGGCTAATTAATCTCTAGAAGAGAATCCTTTGCACCTTATACTTACTGATATTTTGAAGGCGTAGGCATATCTTGGCATAAAGCAAAGGGTTCACTTGGTTATTGGTCATAGAAATATCTGTATTGATTGATTGGATTGATTGGCATGAAATTACCATCTCAACTATAGCTTGGTAAGACTTCCAACTGTTAAAATATTTTTCTTAGAAAATATTATTTCATGCATATGACAAATATCCTAAGCTTTAAAAAGAATGTACTTGAAACCCAAGTTTTATGTTTTGCACGTGTACAGTTTCTTGGAGATTGTAACGAATATTCCTCACACAACACCCACATCTTGTAGTGACTTCAGCAGCACAGTTCATTTCACTTCACCTGATTAATAACCGTGTAGCGTGGTCCTGACTGCTTTCCTCCTGCGAACTTCCAGGCTGGGTGGTGAGGACTTCCAGTTTGCCAAATGATGATGAAAAAGAAAATGAATTTAACTATAGAGAGGACTCTCGGGGATCTTATATTGGTACAGTACAGCCAGCTCCTGTTTATCGTTTGAATTTTTTTCTTTGATCGTTGGCGATGAAGCAGGGTACAGTAGGTGTTATGATAAATAATAGCGGGTGAAATGCAAACTCATAGTGGCATGTTTCTACTGCACCTCTGGGAGGACCGATAGGTCACCGATGTAAGAATGGCACCACAGACCCTGCTCATGTGCTTCTCCGGCCCCACATCGGAATCTTATTCTCGTTCTGTTTCCCTTGTTTACAGATTAATCGTTTTAGCACTGCAGCAAGCATGTACATCATGTTGGAGGAGGAAATTCACAATTATTGGCTTCAAATATTGCACCTTTTTGTGCACCTATTTATGTGCATTAATATTTATACTATGTACGTATCATACAGGCTGCATACATCTGTATGTCCAAAAGTCCAAAGTTGATTGTACCTTCTTATTTGCACCCACTCAAGGTTGGTTCATTCTTTCCTTTCAGAACACTTTCCTCAAATTGGGATTTACCTGTGATTGGCACTCAGTACTGTTGGTGCCAGCCTACAGGAACTATCAATAAAACATTTACAATGGTTTTGGCATGTACAGTACTATAAGTAGTTGGACTAGTTAGAGCTTTGAATCTCAGATAATAATAATTGCATACTCTTATAGCGATTTTCTGGACACTCCACTCAAAGCGCTTTACAGGTAATGGGGATCCCCTCCACCACCACCAGTGTGCAGCTCCACCTGGATGATGCGACGGCAGCCATAGTGCGCCAGAACGCTCACCACACATCAGCTATCAGTGGGGAGGGGAGCAGAGTGATGAAGCCAATTCATAGAGGGGGATTATTAGGAGGCCATGATTGGTAAGGGCCAATTGGAAATGTTGGCCAGGACACCAGAGTTACACCCCTACTCTTTTCGAGAAGCGCCCTGGGATTTTTAATGACCTCAGAGAGTCAGGACCTCGGTTTTATGTCTCATCCGAAGGACAGTGCCTGTTTACAGTATAGTGTCCACGTCACTATACTGGGGCATTAGGACCCACATGGACCGCAGGGTGAGCACCCCCTGCTGGCCCCACTAACACCTCTTCCAGCAGCAACCTTAGTTTTTCCCAGGAGGTCTCCAATCCAGGTACTGACCAGGCTCACACCTGCTTAGCTTCAGTGGGCTGCCAGTTGTGAGTTGCAGGGTGATATGGCTGCTGGCTGCTAGCAGATCTCTCCATATGGTTTTAAGGACATGTACAGTATTACAGTGTACAAAATAATTCCATACAATGACAAGGTGTTCTACATTTATTTCAATACAACCTACAGATTTGTTGAAAATTATAAATAAAAGCGAATTCACTGATTTTGCTGAAATTCTCACTGAAATTTCCTTTATTTTCATGGAGGTCCAAGCAAAACAATTGGAGATTAATAATATCCCACTACTATTTATTGTTTTCTCTTATTTTTCAGAAAAAAAAAATGATTATTTGATTAAACTGACTATCTGATTATCATCTATGCGTGCAGTTTTAGAAAATCATTGTCTGAATACTTTATTGGCCTAAATTGCATTTCTTAAGGGTAACCAGTATAGTCGAAAGTTGAGGTTCAGCGTTATTCAGATTAGTTACAGTTGAGGTACACTGTACAGTATGTTTGATTCTCACTTGAAAATAAAATTACACTTTAAGATGAGTTCCTCAGTTTAAATCAAGGTTCAGAGCCGCAGACTCATTTGAAGGAATAAAGTCAACCTTGTTATTGTTTACAGGAAATCCAACTTCACTGTTTTATATGAAATATTTTAAATGTACTTTCAGGTGTTAGAAATGAATGGGATCTGTAATTGTGCGGGTCCCCAGTAGTCCTGTACTAATTACTGGGTTTCAGAACCGCCTGTGTTCAGGTGTGTTAAGATGAAATGTGACCAATTCTGATGTAAGCAGAAGGAAAAACTGCCACCCACTGTGGCTCGGTCTGATACGTTGACATTCCCACCTGTGCCTGTTCATTAAACTCTGAGCTTGTCAGTAAGGGAGCAGATCCTTAATTAGGACACTGACGAGAAACGGCGTAAAGTTTCTGAAGATGTTGGAAGCAATGCACTTTAGTTACTTGGTTTGAAACTACGGGCTGCATGTAAAAATGCAAGCAGATCCAATTAGCAGTGATGAAAATGGGCCCAGCTGGGGCAAAAACCCAGCAGACTCAGAGATCTCTGAGAACCAGGATTCAGAGAGAACCACTGCATGATGGATTTTGTTTTGTGATGTACAGATTTGTAAATACAGTTGAAGAGTTAGGGGGAAGGATAGTGAAATAAAACGATGAGCCTCTTGGTACCTAACGTAAGTCTGCTGTGTTTTATGAAAAATCATATTTCTCAGCTATGTGAGCAAGTGACTCCATCTCATTTATTATATCTCAAATCCCCCTTTTCCTTAATGGCTCATTTATTTAATACATGCAGGATTCTCAGAGAGAGAGGCTGCTCTTTTGACAAGCAGAAGGTTTCCCTGAGGCTGTTGAAGACTACATTCACTGCTAAGTAAGGGACTAATCGATTCCTGAAAGGTGACTTTTAGAGGCAATTATATACTAGAGGAATCTATGAAAATGATAACAGAAGGGAACTTGCCTTTTATGACAACCTTCAAAGATAGCACCCACAAGCTATGATTTCAAACCCCAAATCAGTAGCGTTGCTGTAATGTTATGATCTACAGTAACTGAAAATTTAAATGAAAATAAATAGATCTAATTTGTTTTATAATATATCAAACATAATGAAATAAGAAGGTAGAAGCTGCTGATCTGAAAAACAAAACTCATTAATTTCCTAGTAATAAAATATTAAACTAGTGTACAGTATTGAACAAATAATTAAATTGTCATTTTACTAATCCCTTACAGTGCCATATGTCTTGCTAGTAACTTTGAAGCTTTATTGGATTAACCAACTGTGTTTATTTTTTCTGCTGTCAACATAATAATCATATTCAAAAACATGCCAAGTCAGAATAATGCCTGGCATTGCTGCAAAACTGGAAATATAATATACGTCCTGGGAACAGAGCAGAGTTAAAATTTGATAGAAAGGACAAAGCCATCTGCCAGGATTTTATTACAACAGTGAGACTGAGCCAAAGACGACTGTGTTGCTGGAATTTTATGGCGATTACAGAAAATAGAAGGACCCATTTTCTTTTGATGTCAGGGAAACTGTAACTAACCAAATCCTTGATCTAAAGCTCTTTAGGAATTTGTGGCATTTTATGTAACAAAGTTTCTGAAGACACAGTCACGTGTGATTGCAGACACATTTTTCATTGATATTTTAGCTTGAATTCACTTGCTCTGATGTAAATCAAGATTAACCAGGAGGTTGCTATAGAGCTACGGTGTTCAGAAATAGAAGAAGGTTGTTCATTCAACAAATATTGGGCTCCTTGTCCTCCTTTAATCATAAACTACATTTAATATTCTTAATTTTTCACATTTCTGCAGTAAGCTTGAAAAGTAGATGTTGTACAGGTGCAATATTTTAGATTTTAAGTTTTCAGTCAATTTTGAATTCAGTTTATCTTTCTGCATCTCAAAAGCTTTCCAGTTCAGGTGCCGGTATGCTCTGTGTGTGACTGAAATCTGCCAGGCAGGAGGGAGGTGTTGTGGGCCATAGCTAATGAGAGTTTGTAATAAAATTGCATTTTTGCAGTTATAGGGAAGTTAATGATCTAATAAAGCACTGTAGAAAATCAGCAAAGGTCAATGTGTTCTAACATTAAAATAAAATGAGAAAAACAATGTATTTGCATATTACATACAGAATGTTCAGTTTATTTTGTGAGTCGGTGGTACACATGATTTGATCTGGAGAATCTTACAAGAGTAGAGCTAAGAAGAGAAGATTTGCCTTTATTTATCTACCAATGTCTACAGACAATTTATCCACATTCTCAAGATACGCAATGATGAACATCTTTCTTACATCTTGTTGGTTTTTTCTCACCCCTCCTCACTCCACCCCCTGTTCACCATCACAGCTGGATATACGTATTTCTGTCATGCAGGTTGATAATGTTCCTTATTGTTGATCACATTGTCCTAATATACTCTAACTGTCTTTCCATGCTCTGTTAAGATTCGGGGGCTGGTAGGAGCCTCCCCATCAAACATCAGTTTGAAAACCTGTTGCTCTTCTCTCCCGTTAAATACTTTAGACTGAACCAAGGAGTGTGTTAGGGACTGTTTTCACTTTGAAAACAAAGTCCTTCCTGGGGAATTAAGTCATAATAACAGATTCAAAGGAACTCTGTTTCATGTGCATAAACAGCGTATTTTTGGTTTTTCATTCTACTACTTTTGTGTTACAGTACAGAACATTTTAACAGTCTGTCCTCTGCTTTTAGTCTAACATGCTATTTTCTTTTTGATGTGCAAAAAACTCAGACATTCTTCCCTGCCTCTTTAACAGTCATCTCCAGAGCTCTTCGGATTGAAGTTTAGGAGGTGTGCACTCCTTGTGTATTTTTTACTGTTTCCTTTGGTGTGGAGAGATTTGATGTGGAGTTAAAATCACAAGCTGAATGCTGCTTGAAAATAATCAGGCATGGAATTTCAAACAATTTGTTTGTGTGTTGACACTTTTTTGTGTTCCCAGACATTATACTGTAGATATTATTTTTTTTATGTAATACATGATATAAGGATCGACTCCTTTTGTGATTTCTCATTTTGTGGAGAATGATGTTGGATGCACAAAGATAACGTTTTTCCCTCTTGCTTTAAGACATGGAGGACACTGACCAGTGTATCACTGTTTCTTGTCTCACGATGCCAGTCTTGATTTAACAGTCAACAATAAGCTCTTGGGGGAAAATACTTTCTTAACAGAATTTCAGTCGGATTTCCAATTTTCCATATTTCTTGCTACAAGAACATTCACAAATGCAACAATACGGTTATTGAAATTCGAACTAATCTGCTTTTTCTCATATTTACAGGCTTCCCCTGCAGCACTGGCAAAAAGCGTTCTGGCAGAAGTTCCCAACCAAGTGGTAGACTATTACAACGGCAAGGGAATCAAGCCCAAGGGTCTGTCAGATTTCGAGTCTTCCAGGACATTCGGCCCCTAAAGTCTTTGCACATGTTTACATAGTTCTTGGAAAAAAAATAGCACGTTTTGGTGATTTTTATCTAAAAGATTTTTTTGCATGATTAGCCCAGAGGCTTGCATCTGTTTCACAGTTGTATTGTTGAGGACATTTTTATGAAGATAAACTGACTCCTTTACGTATAAGCATGTCGCCTTGAAAATAACTGAAGAAAAAAAAAACAAGTTGTCTGTATTGGTTTTTCTACAGGTTTGTTGAGATTTTGCTAAATTTCGTAATATTCTTACACTGTAAAGCATTTTGGATCAAGGAAAAGTTGATAGCTAACTGTATTAGTTTCATCTGCTCCCAACCAACAGTTTTTTTCTTTTCTGATTAAGCGGATGTGTGCACTGTATTTTGCATGTTAATAATAAAAAGACAGGTTTTTACGGGTTGAGTTCTTCTTTTAGTCTGATAAAAAAATTAATTCACAAAATCTCTGAATCCCACATAAATTATCTCTAGCAAATGATGGAATGAAAAAGGTCATCCATTTTAAAAGTGCTTTCTAAAAAGGATGACCTCACAAAGTTAGCCAGGTTAATGTTAAGTACATTTGCAATACATGGGTAAAATAATTCTTCCTTCATGCTACATGACACATTTATGCATTATTGATTGTGTAATTATTATGTAAAACATGTTGTAAAACATTGGACATTTGTATGAGATTTCTTTCAGAATGTTTTATAATTGCTGTTGGTTTTCATTAAAAGTATTTTAATGCTTTTTAAGAAGTGAAAATACAAAAAGTATTACACTATTAAATCTTCAAGCAAGTGGCTTCCAAGGTCACTAGTTTTAAGATTTTTATCTCGCTTTAGAAACACAAAATGTATTATTCGTATTTGACAATTGAGAAATAATTAGCATATTTTTCATTTTATTTTAATAGAAGACCTTGCTTATTTTTATAAGGATGATAGTGTCTAGTTTCCAGAGGGGCAGTGAGGCCACAGGCACAAGGCCATCTGCCACAGGTTCTGATCTTTCATGTTTCTGACGTGTTCCAGCATTGTTAAGGAGAGCTATATATATGTAATTCTGAAAAGAATAGTAATTTTTTACTTACAGTATTTTGTTGATTTTGGACCCTCTTAGATAATGTGTGATATTGGTGTTCTTGTGTTTGTGAATATGAGATAGTACTCTACAGGAATTCATAGAGCAGTGGTTTGTGGGTGCAGCTCACAAACACCCCTCCCTGCATGAAGCATTTCTTTTCCTTAATGACAGACAGGAGGCTAGTTGTACCAGGTTGCATGTGGGGCTTATTACATTGTAACACCTCTATGGATGAGTGGGTCTGTTCAAAACATGGGCAGTTAACTCATGTCAACAAATGAATACCATACACCTCTACTGTGCTCGGAAGATGGTTAGAAGAACCTTTTTCATTTTCAATGATGTTGAACATTTTTTGTTTCTACTCGACAAAGGGAAATGTTATAAGCTGCTGAGTTGTAATTTCGCAATTTTGTATCCATGTGCTTTTCTTGTGTGACAAAATTGAGATCAGTGAATGTGTAGTTGGGTCACATGGCTCATGTAATGACTTTCCCCATTCCTGTATCATCCTGCCCCTCAGTATAAAGGGGCAGCTCTCTCCAGTGATTTGCAGTGTGGTCATGAGTAACGATCCTTTTTTTACTATAAAAGCTGTATGTTACATAAAAAAATGTTTGTAACTACTGAGATATTAAACCTTTCCAACCCGCTTTCCATGGTTTTGAATAAATACTACACCACAGATTTCAACAGCTTGCCCCGTTACCCCCTGTGTGTCCAGTGAGGAGTCCGCTGGGAAAACCACGGGAAAACCAGCTCTGCTTCTCTCTTGAGGTTATACAGAAGGAATACATAAGAGATGCTCGACGGGCAGCTCTCTCGTGGGGATGGATTCGAGTCATTTTAAAGGAAGGAGTCGGAAAAGATGCATTATGGGTAGTTTGACATAAAATGTGATCTAAGCTGGATTCAGGCAAGTACTGTTGACAAACTTAACAAAAAGAACTAAAAATGTATATTATTTATTTGATGATTAAAGTGAGCATGTGTGAGCATTCATAGACAGAACCGGAGTGAAGAGTTCACGCTGCATCGCGAGCTGCCCTTTGAGGTGAGAAAGGTGTTCACTCTGCTCTCTTATTTTTGAAGTACTACTTTCCGCTTATGAATTTATTTTCAGGTTCTTTCCTTTCTCAAGGATTTCACTCTGGGCTTATTAGAAAAACCCCAAAGGGTAAAATTGAATACAGGAGATGTTGAACAGATGGTTGCTGGGGAGTCATGTGGTTTAAACGAAGCAAAAAAACAACAACATATATTTCTATCCCTGTGCTGTTTCTGATTCATTTAAGCCAGTCTAGATGGGATTGAAACTCTTCATTTACACTTCCTACATGCTTTCTTCAAGCGTGTTTCAATTATTTGTTGATGTTGAGCGCAAGAACATCTGCACATGTCGGCCCTTTCCATAGGTGATGTATGAGCTGTTCACCAACAGCACCTGCGCCTGTGATTTAGGTGTTAATATTTGTAAATAATGCAATCATTTCAATGTTTCAAAAACATATGGAGTGTGACTCAGGCATACAAAGACGTAAGATATATTATTAGACAAATTACTCAATGGCATCATCAGAGTTTCTATGGTGAACTTCGCCTGACATTTTTGCTATTTTTAGTTTTGATAGACCTGTATTTTGTATTACACAAAAATAACCATTTAGATATTGTGCGGAGTGGAGCAACTGACGTCACATGAAGACGAGCTTGGATAGGTAAACGAGTTGGCTGGTTTGACTTGTTGTGCCAAAATCTTTACGACTTTAATCAATGTGATTTTATCACTTTAATCAATTTAAATGAAAGCTTTTTTTTCTCACTCAATCCAAGGTACTGTATTTAAATAGCAGTCATAGTCGCTCAAATAGTTGAACAGAGTCGTGAAGGGTTTGAGTAAACTGCTGATGGTCTATATGTTGAGAGATTGAAGAGTATGTGTTATATTGTATGAAACCTTTGTAGCTGCGTATGCACTGTATTCTGTGTAAGAGCAACATGGCGTTGCAGCAGAATCACACAGATACAGAGTGGGAGACATTTAAGAAGTCAATTTGAAAAGAGCCAGAGAGTGGTTTCTTTCCAGAGACTCCAAACAAGCCTGTTTTAAACTGGAGTTCTTTGAAGTCTAGACCAGCAGGCTTTCAATTAAACCTGCCATCATGCATAATTAACAGCATACTTCTTTGCAGATCATTCCTGGGACAGACCCACAGGGGTTACAAAAGAATAAAGAAAATCAAAGGTTATAATATTAATGATGAAGAGAGCATATGATCAACTGTAGGTATTAGTTAAAATATTCACAATTATATCTGCCTTTAAGACCAGCGATTACTGTTCAATTGACGTGAATGAATCCTTTATAAATACCTCTTTATTTGTCAATCTGAAATTGAAATACCCCAGTGACTGGGGGTATTGCCCTCGCATTTGCCAGTAACCTAATACTTTGTTTGTGTATCATCATTACGTGGGAACAGTATTTTCCACCTTATTTGTTTTATTTCTCTGGGCAATTTTATACAGCCTGTCGGCACTCCCAGAGTAACCGGGGGCATGCACGGCACTTGTGTGTCCTTCCAGAACACGTGTGAGGCCAGTCCTCTGTTTTCACATCGCTGACAAGAACGGACACACCAGAGAGGACGCGTCACCTGCCAGTTGTGCCACATCTGTCCCGATGATCCTTTCTGCGTATAACTCTCAGCTAGAGAGAGGGAGTGGGGCATTTACAGATGGGTTTGCCCGGGCACGTTTAGAGCTGATGATGTTAAGGGAGTGAGGCATAGTGTTCTGAGTGATCCATTGTAAATTATTCCCCAAATTCAGATGCAAAACATGCTGTCTATGATCCACCTACTCAAAAAATGTGAGTGTTGTTAGATTTTGTTCTGTAGAATCAATACAAGCTAGCTTACTCATATAACCTGAAGGTATGCTGGAGGATATTGAACATGAGCACAAAGGAGATTTCTGTTGACAAGCTTAGGCTGTGTGGTTCACTTTTAATGAAGCTAGAAACATCGGTCTGCAAGTCTGTACAGCTGTGATAAACTGAATGAATAAAAAAAGTGAGGGATGGTAGCTGTGACAGAGAGTTAACTCTTACTCTACAGGTTTTCTATCAAGCCAAGACATAACTGGGCCACTGATGCTGAAAGGTCATGGTCATTTCACTGTTTGAAACCTTAGTGACAAATTGTTGAACGTTTTTGATAGTGATGTTGTTAAAGTACACAAGAGCCACTGTTTTATGCAGAAAGGTTTCTAAATTCTCAGCGGTTAGGTTAGTGGGCCTATTTCCCAGGCTGTGCACTATGTTCTCAGGTTGAAATTATTAAGTAACATGGTTTCTTCGAGTTTTTGGAAATAAATGAAAAAACCTTCAGAATAGTATATGTCCTCACTTCAAATTGATTTCAGGTCAATTCAAATACAAATTGCTGGGAAGAAATCTTAAATACATAATATATTGCAAAATATATACAGTACAGTATATACATATGTATAGATAACATATATGGCTTATAGACTTAAGACTGAGGGAAATCATTTGATGTTCCCCAAAGAGCATAAATGAAGGCCAACATTGCATATGAAGTTAACACTGCAACTAATGTCATGACATTGCAGTGCATAAAAGATAATAAGGAATTTTAGAGATTAGATGATAAAAACCTTGTCACCTAAGAGGATCAATAACATCTGTGTGATCTGTGTCAGTGACTGAATGCTTCATAGGAATTACGGGAATATGAAAGGATATTATGTATTACTCTTTAACAGCAACCTTTCACCAAAGGATTCTAGGATTGCCAGTCACACCTCACTAGTAAACTGCATGATGTTTGTATTGCACTGTGCATTTTAAGCACTGACAGCAACAGTCAGAGCTCGTCCAGGTTTAGATCTTACTTTTGGTATACATGGAGTTCATTGGGATCTTATATTGGTGTGCAAAAATATTAGACATTTTAAACACTGTCAAGAGTTGGTGTAATTGAAACACTGTGTGAAAGAAGTTCTCTAGAACTGCATTTTCTGCTTGAAAAATGAGCATAGCTAGAACTCTACAGACCTTATTCAACTTGCTTGCTGTTCTTTGAGAAAGGTGGGAATGATACTAATATTTCTCCTTCTCTCGAAGTCCAGTTGGTTACACCTGACACCTGTGGGCAGTTCTGAAACTCAGATGATGGTACAGGGATGATACCATTTGCCAATCCTATTTGTCGAGAGTAAATGTACAAATATGCCAAAATAATACTTAATTAAATCAATCAGCACGTGCTTTTCCAGAGCCAGGATTGGGAGCCATTGCTTTAGGCAACAGTTTGTTTTTTTCCATTCCTGCATTTCCAGTCCAGTAGTTATTTTCCAGCATGACAATGCAAGACCATTCAGTGCTTGGATAATAGTGGCACATTTGAAGAAATCACTGCTGGGATCTTGCTGTGGCCAGCTTTTTCTCCCTGAATCCAATAGAACAGCTGTGGGTCCAACTCACCACGCCCATCTATGGAAAACAGCTGTTACGGGTCGTCCCTCTGCAGGTGCACATATGGAGTGGTGGAACAACCCACAGCAGTCTTTCCAAACTGAAAACGCCACCAGGATTATGTTAATGCCGAGAGAGTTCATGATCGATACTAACTTTCCAATGTTTTCATTCTGATAGTGTTTCGTCATGAAAACATATGGTGATTCTCTGAGCTGTACGTTAGATCACGTTTTCTGTGCGTTTGGTTGATATCTTTGTTTGAAGTTTCTGCTCGAATCCATTTCACCTGGGAGTTGCGTTTCCTTTGAGTGTAAGTATTCGTGTGAAACTGATTGACGTGTTTCTGTCACAATATGACCAGAGTTTTATTCAGTGGGAAAAGAAGTGGTGCATTGAAGCGGAAAGCAAATGTTGACAGCTGTCCTACACCTTTGTTGAATAAAATGAAGATTTTGACAAATATTCTGAATATTTGGCTCCCACTAAGTCACATTCATGTAATTTTTTCTGAGAAGAAGTCAGAAATACTGTAGATAGGTGCATTTAAAACCTTACAGAAAAAAGACTGACCCCTTAACACTGGGGAACTTAACACTCTTGAAAGTCTGGAGGAATAATATCACTATAAGAACTTTTAAACCAACAGAGAGGGAATATTTTAATGAGACAAGACTGCTGTGAATTATCAGCAGACTGTGGTGTGTGTGTAGTATTTGCTTTTGAGAAGATTAATACGTTTTCATGTGCCTTGAAAGTTTATGCTTGCGCTTCCTGTAAGGGTATTTTTGGTATGAATGTATTTCACACAAATACCGATACTCAAAAGACATGGAATATAAATTTGTATATTCTTAAACATGTTTGCTCTTATAGGTTGCATATGACAGGCAAGTTACAGTATTTGCTGGGCATGATATGTGTAAAATAAAATAAGAGAGTAATTGACAATTTCATGTATAAAATAGTTATTGTAAAGGGTTTCTTTACAAGCAGAATCTACCCTCTCTCGTTCATTCAATTCTGTGGAAAGATAGGTGTTAAACATGAATCCACTTACAAAGGAAAACTTTCTCACAGGAATTCACCTCCATTTCAGAAGCCAGTGCTTGTTAATAAACAAATAAAAAAACTGCATATATTAATTTTGTTGATATCCCTCATTTAACAAAATGAATGTAGCTGATGTCTTAATTACCCAGCTTTGAGCTTCTATTTAAAGTGATTATGTTTTGCTGATTGTTATTAGAGCTGTTCAGCACAAATATAAATAAACATTACTTTGAGTTACACTATCTACAATGACATTCAGAACACAGAATTTTAAACATCTCTCAGCTTTTAAATGCATCTACTGGGCTACTGCACTGAACAGCAAAGACAAAAAATATACTTATTGAATTTTTCCTCAATAATTTTTCCTTTTTAGTTCAACGATTTTTCTTAATCTAATCAGAAAGTGGTGAATATCTTTTTGCTATTATTTTGACTTAGATCCAGACTAGAACACGGAGTGATTAATTTTCATGTCACCCATTAGATAATACAAACCCTGTACTTGCAGGAAGCTCTTTTCCTATCCATTAGAAACCTTTCCTCTCCGAATAGTGTCAAGAACTAATGATTTTCTTTTTTATTTCTAAGAGACATTTAATGTACATTTATCCAAAGAAAACAACATTTAATATAGTTAAGAGAAAAGGTAATTCTGTAGGAGCCTTTGTTTAAAAGCAGTAGCACATACGAATTTGTATCATTAAGTCAAAGCTGTACAACAGAATATAAAAAAACATTTCATATTGAACTCCATATATTATTAAAATGGAACAATATTGGGATAAATATTCACAGATGAAAAAATCAAGGACCCTTTATTCTAGATTTGGGAATTCATTCCTATCCTGCACTCATATTTCATTTCTTTAGTTATACAAAATGTTGGTGATGATGCTTGTTTCAAACTTAATATTGCAGATTCTAAATATTGATTCTAAATATCGTATATAGGAAATAACTATTTTGTTGTAGCTTTTATTACAGTAAATACTAATTATATTTCCTGAGATATGTTTTTGGCTGATAAAAATATCTGCTGGTATTTATGTTAGTCAAAAACAACATTTATCTTTTTTAAGAGATTGAAATTTCTGTAGCTCAATTGCTGGCCTAAGAGAAATGTTTAATCTGAAATTGATTTTGTTCAAGAGAACTAACCAGATGTATTAGTATTATTATGTGGAAACAGATTTGTGGCTTTAATCCACAGTAATGTCACAAATATGAGTTATCTGTTTTGTTATTTCCGATGAGATTGATAATATTAACCAAATCACACTTGTCATATTGCTAAATCTAAGTATTCAATGCTAGATATAGAATATCCCCTATATTTTTTTATACTGTATATAATTGAATATACCTATATCTATATACTGTATAGATGCCATAATTCACCAGATTAGTGTTTTGGAATTAAAATTACAGTATGTAAACTTTCATTGTGTGCTGCATGTGCTTATTTATCATAAACTGAGAAAGTTGTTAAAGGAATAACACCATTATCTTCATTAAGTACTTCATTAAAGTAGTCTGTGTGGAATGAGAATTAAATTTACTTCAAACTGTAACCTTTATTCAATGGCATATACTGTAGTAAATTCGTAGAATTAAGTAAACACACTCATAGGATTACTTCTGAATCTTGCACCCTGTGTAAAATTATAGATTTGTCAGAGCTGGCATTTTGTCTTGCCGAGACACTTATGAAAACAGTCTATACAGTCACAACCTGTGAAGTTTTATTGTATACAATGAAAGTGTTACTCCTCCTTCATCAGGATGTGTATAGCGCTTCAGGGCGACGTTAGGATAAAAAATCGAGCCATGCAATATACAATTATAATTTCCGTATATAAATATTTTAAATTAATTAAATTAAATATAACGTATTTTAAATTAAAACAGATCTGTAATGCTGTTATGTGCAACTACGATTTCCTAAGCTTCCAAACAATGGGAAAGAATGGATACTCGCGTTAGACCGTGAACTGTGTACCCTATATTGCAGGTTAACCTCCGGAACTGCTTTCTCAGCCTAACTCAGCAGCACGGACGTATTTCTGAAGCGTACCCGGAAGACCTAGGGTGACATTCGGTACAAGCGTGAAAGCCTGAGTGTGGATATATGCCGAAAATTAACATCAGATTCGGACGACAATAAATATACCAACTGAATTAAAAGTTTAATTGCTATAATGGCAGCGTGGAGCTGCAGGTTTTTAAGGTGGGGATTAAGAGACCCACTGTTAAAGGGAGCTGAAAGGTATGTAAATGATTTTGTTATCTGTTTGAGTTCATTCTAAGTCATATGAGTACGATATAAAATACAAAATGTGTATATGAACAGTTACGTTATGTATATCGTCTGTATTTATATTTGTATCGTCTTTATACTAAGATAAGTTTCGACAGCTTGTCTATTTGTGTAACTTCATAGTGATTGCAGGTGCGTGAATTAAGCTGTAGTTAAGCAGTGATGCACATACACTGTACTGTTTTCTTGCAGTTCTTTGAGAGGCGATGCAGTTCTGTGACAACTGAAATACAGTTATACAGTAATTCGGGATGAATAAGCCTTTTGAGTAATAGTTTAAATGAAAAGGAACAAGTAATATGTTTATTCTATGTTGAAAAGAGAAGAAAGTTTCGACCTTGGAGCCTTCTTCAGGTGTGATTTGAAAGCAGACACGCAAGCGCAGTATATGAACACGATATCCACGCGTGCTGGTGGATTTCAAGTGGTCCTCCAGACGCTGTGAACTGTAAGTTTAGATTTAGACTCGAGTCTGAATACGGGATGCAGGAATTAGCGAAATAATTATAAAGGAAGATTAAAAAAGAACGACGGGCAAGCTTTAATAGGCGACAGATTTAGAATCGGCCATTGACTGAAGCAGAACTATTCATCACCCAAAATTTAAGGCCATACTAAGTTAAAAGTAAAGTTTATTCTGATTTTTTTCTTTTACACAAATGTGGATGAGTTTTGCTTAGCTTAAGGTAAAATGATAGTCTCATAGTTTTTACAAAAGATTTTGCTGCTAGTCAGCTAGACCATCTCTTGGATGACCAAGAAAAATCCTGTTAATGAATTGCCTTTTTACATCAGTTACTATCAATATAATTTAAAGTTAATTCTTTATTTTCAGCTTTTTTCACTAAAATGTTTTGGATCGTTCTATTTTCTCTTACCCAAAAAGGGTGCTTCTCCTTTTCAGTATCCACCTTCAGAGAAGATTAAAATTGAATAAATATATAGAAGAAGCAGTCTTATCTGAGGGTTGTGTTGAACGTATGTTTCTTTCTAGGACAGCCTATCAGCATAAATGAAGGTTAATAAATCTACAGATTTAAAAATACATGAGGATTTACTTTATTTTTTGTGTTTGTAGCCCTCTGTGCGTACGGTTTGTTGGCACCATCAAGAGTACAACCTGGTGGGATGAGCACCTTTCCGATGAAAATAACAAGTTCCTGCGAAGAGTGATACCCGAGGAGTACAGCAGCCAGACCGCGAGCAAACTGTGCCCTTTGAAGGATGAGCCCTGGCCCAGACAGGAGTGGGAGGCAGGTAAGGTGTGTGAACTGTTCTAAAAGAGTAAGCAGGAGTTCGCTAGGGGGATGTTTAAACCCAAATGCAGTAGGTTTATTGTTTTTTCTGCCATTGTGGCTAGCAGCCTCAGGGTGGAAGGAGCACAGCACCAACCGGTCGTCCTGGGCTGTGTTGCTCCAGTATGGTAACTGTTCTAAGTTTTGTTCTGCTGCATTGGTTACAGTGAGTGAGCCAGGCGGCCATTTTCCATGAGAATATTGGACAGTACTTCCCCATTTCTGATGACCGTGTTATAGCTTTATGCATTGGTAAATCTCAAACTGAGACAGATCTTTAATATTTGCATATGAAGTGAACACAAATACTTTTTATATTTGGCTTGATTTTGAGTTAATAGAACTGAACACGATTATGCGTAAAGTAGTATTAAAGAATTTTCAGCTCTGTCTGCACTTACTATATACAGCAGCTGCTTAAAGATCTGTAGGATACAATGTTTTTTATACCTTTCCTTTAACGTTTTATTCTTTGAAAAGCAAGAAGCTGGAGCAGAAAATATTTTAATGAATGAAGGTAATGGAGAAAGTAAAGCAATGAAATTTAAATTACATATAGATCAGATATAATCACTTTGTTAGCCATGTACAGTTTCTTGCATTAAGAATTCATCTTTTTGCATACCCCAGCTTGCTCTCCACGAGACACACAGACAGGGAGAGAAGCTTGGGGTCAGAGCGCAGGGTCAGCCATTGTACAGCGCCCCTGGAGCAGTTGGGGTTAAGGGCCTTGCTCAGGGGCCCAACGGAGTAGGATTCCTCTGCCGGCCGCGGGATTTGAACCGGCAGCCTTCCAGCCACAGGGGCAGATCCTGAGCCACAGAGCCACCGCTCCGCCCCACACAAATATTTTATAAACAGAAATATTATTTTTGTACATCAGATCCCTGAGTTTTAGATCTGCTTCTGTTACAATAAAATAATAGAATAAAAAATGTTCAAAACATTTATTAATATCCTCTGTACAACCTAACTGTTCTGTTTGAAAACAAATTTCAAATACCAAGCCGTCGCTTAGTGCTAGATTTGGTGTCTCATGTCAACTTTAGGACGCATTATGATTTTCTCCTGTCTTCAGCTTGTTTTCTGAGGCTTTTGGCTGCTTATATTTTATGTTGCGACATTCACTAATTGTATTCCAAAACTGAGTCAGATCAAACGTTGTTTGAAAAACTATTCAACTAGGTAAACGGTTAAATTTTCTCATTTAACCTGCAATTATGTATAACTGGAGTCAATGCAGCTGGACTGTAAGCAAATGAAGAGTTAAGGAATCTGCTTTCTTGAACACTGGTGCCAGAAATGAATTACAGATAGCACTGTGTAACAGAACATGAAGCTTTCCCTTTACATTTCATACATAGTCTGAAAGAAGCGTGTAAAGTATTTCTTGAAGAATGTTAATTGGACATATTAACACCTATTTGTATTTTATAGTGCCAGCATAAAAATATTTAAAACTAGTTCAATGTCTTCATCTTCCTGTATTGTACCAAAGTGCTGATATATCCTTGGTTACTGTAGTACTAGGGGGAAAAATGAGTATATTCCTGCATCTTATAAGTCTTGAGATTGATCGTTGACACATATGCTAGCCTTTAGCTATGGGTATGCGCTTATTTTCTAAGTAATTGAATTTGCTGCTTCGGGTTTGTGTGGGTGAAACATCTCAGATATGGGTAGGCTGAAATGCTGTGGGATTTCGGTAAATTGTTTTTTATTCATATGACTTTGTGTTCAGCCTTCTGTTAAAGACTAACTTACAGTTCAGTTTTCTGGCAGAAATGGTCTGGAGTTCTAAGACAGTGGGGGAAAAAACACGTAAGAGTTTCTTACAGTTGTGCTTTTCATCCTCAAACCTCTTATGGGTGAGCGTTTATTCAGGTGCACTTGGGTCTAAAATAAGTGTCATTGAATTAAAAGTATGTATGATATCAGAGAAATAAATAAGATCTTAGTTGCAGAAGACTTTCGTAATGTGTAAAAAAAGTAACAGACTTGGCAGGAGTTATTGTCCATTGTGAGTTTTGTAAAGATGCACTGTTTTCTTTAGTGAGCAGTAAATAAATTCAGTTATTAAAACTGTTTCACAAAATTGACGAATTGTTAAGTATTGCATCTCACTTTTCCTTTGCTCTTATTTTGTGTGGTTAGTCTTGAGAAATGCCAAAATTAATAAACAACGTTCTGATCATGTGGGAGGATCTCGGACGTCATCCTGCCTAAACAGTTAGGACCCTTGTGTTCTTGTTATTTACACTCTTGTGCGTCAAGTGTTCTAGGAAATGTCACCAGTCTGTTTGTCGGGCTCTGAGCTGCAACTTCACTCTCAAGTCTGAGGTGAATAAGCAGAGATCTGTTAATCCGCGAATACTGCTGGTAAATATCTGATGGAGCATGAAAGTATTTCAAAGTGCGTCAAGTTTATTAGACTGCATAAAAGCTTGGATTGTTTTATACAAGTCGTCACAGATGTTTTTGTATTCTTCCTGTTGAGCTCTTTTTGGGTGACTGGCTTGACCCCCTATAATAAGAAGATCAGAAGCATAAATAGCTGACAGTGTTGTTATGGTGATGGCTGCCCTATGTCATTTGCTCGTGTATAAACACTTCTTTCTTTGTTATTCTTTTTATTGTCTCAGTTTTCTTTTAGCTCTGGTGATTTATTTACAGATTTTGAAAGAGTTTTGAATGCATTTTCTATTTAATTTGTGGATACTAACTTTGTGCGCAATCATCCTTGAAGGCAAGATGCAGAAATTTTAACAATACTCCCTGGACACATGGGACATTAGTGTCTTAAAACATGACATTGTCTTTTAAATAGTTAAGTAGGGAATGTACAATACAATGTATGTTAAGTTTATGGCCAAATGTACAGTTTCAAACACTGGGGAAAAAAATATCTTGAGCTTTACCCTGGTGTAAATGCAGACAAAACTAACATCTGAAGTATTGGTTCCATGTTATTTTTCTTGATTTATTATAAATTGTATGTACAGATTGGGGATTTATTATTCATTGAGACTAAGATTCGAAAGCATGCGTTATAATAATAATATAGAATGAAAAGCTTGTCTAAGAAAAGCAACCAGTTTTAAAACCATAGCAATGGCTTTTATCATTTTATGCCCTTCTGTAGCTATTGTTATTTTAGATTACTCTGCTCTTGTTCAGCGTCCTTTTCACTGAAGTAGAATGACTTCTGCTTTGCTTGCCATTCTTTTCCAAATACCTTGCTTCTTCCAAGTATCTGGTTTAGCAAAGGAGTGTCTCTTGGGAGTCGCACAGGTGAGAGCTGAGAGAACAGAGCATTTTTCAACACAAGCCAGTGTGTTCAGGTGCCATCTCTTCCCTGCCTCCCTTTCCACGGCACGGATCTGCACATCTAACCCGTAGTCCTAGAAAAGCGACAGTACCATGCCCAGAGAATCATCCTTCTAACCAAATGAAGACTTCAGTAAAAAGATCAGGAAGGGCGTCGTTGATTGAAGGGAAAAATTGTCGTGACCTCAGTGTCTTAACATTTATGTTTCACAGGGAGCCGGCGTGTGGGCCTGATTGCATTGAAGCTGGGCATGATGCCGATCTGGACTAAGATGGGGGAAAGACACGTTGTCACGATGCTGCAGGTGAGGTTGGAGGCGTAGTTTTCTGTCAGGTGTCATTCCGAAGAAATCGGTTGATGTTTGCAGAATACTTGGTTTTTCTTTGCTGCTGAACACTAAACGGATTCCAAGAGTCATGAAAACAGGGTGTAGTTTACTCCGATTATGCTTTTTATATATTAAAATGATTGACTGAAGCTGTCGTTGCTTGTGAACATGTGAAGTTGCCACCAACCGCCTTGTTAAAAGGCAACACGAGAAAAAGCTCTGTCTCCTAAGCTGAGAGCTGTAATTGCAGCAGGGAAGAGATGTCATCCTCCGCAACAATCAGTGAATTGTGGGATGAAAAAATACAGAGGTTTCCTTGTCTTCACCTCTGTCTTCCAACTGCTTGAAGATCAGATCAGGAATTGGATATTTGAACGATGACCTGAAGCCCCTTACCACTGCAGTCCCTGCAGTAGTGAAAATATTATTCACCCTGTGTGATCTTGTCATCGGGTCTTTTCAGAACACTGTGACATTAGTTAGTAGCATCTCTCATCTACATTTTCTTGAGCATGACCAGTTTTGCACACAGCTTCATTGAACAGAATGCACTCTCTCTCCCTGTGTTTGGAGCCCCTAATTGTGAGATGAAAGGCGCCCTGAGCCTGAAGTGTAGAAAAGACTTACAGATATGCAGGAGGTAATCAGTTCACTGATGAAGTCAGGAGCCAGTCTGGATTTCAAGTTATATTCTGACAAGGAGCCAGTGCTAGGAAACTGATACAGGTTACATTTCCTCCGCATTTTAGATGTGGTTAAAATCCAAACAGCTGAATTCTAAACGCGTTGCAGCTTTTTACAAATGTTATGGAGTATTGTGGGGAGACAGACTCTGAAATTGCTGAAGGGGAAGCTTCTGTTGCCAAGACATGGGCTGTACACATCAAGAAGTTGCCACGTGTTTTTTAGAAAGCTGTTGTAGTGCTTTGATAGTCTCACAGCAGATATTTAGATCACTATCTCCTCCTGTCATTAATGTATTTTCTTAATGGCGCAGAAGGCCACAGCGCTTAATTTGCGTATTGCAAAAAGCGTGACTGCAAATTGTGTTCTGTTAACACAGCAGCTGGCCTTTGTTAATATATATGACCCTTGGTGTCCTACTGAAAATGTGAGCCAGCTTCATAAACTGAATAAGGTGATACGTTTTCTAAGCTGAAAGATTTTTAGTATAAATTCATGCTCAGAAAGCTGCTGTAGCTTTGCCACTAACTGAACAGGGCTTGGGTTCAGGAACGTTTCCCAAGTAAAGTGATGTGAAACACGAGGGGCATTCCTTATTCTAGTCACGGGCTTACCTATGCAGTGTCCAGTAGAGAACTACAGTATCCCTTAATTGCCAGCATTCTCTCACTTAAAACTCTTGAGTTTTTAGCACCTTCCTTTTTACGGGAGGTTAACGATTGTAAAGGTAGTATTTCAAGCTTAATTGTTTAAATGAAGACATTTAAAAAAATAATATGCTTATTGTTTGGAATGTTTCTCGTGATCCAAGTAATGAGTTTCTTTTAGTCATTTCACCCATGAAGTTCAAATTCAGCAAGGTGAAAAACTGTCCTTGGGTTTAAAGTCATGTAATCTGTCTGCATTTTTATCTCTTGTGAAAACGCTGTCAGCTCTCTAATGAGATCTTCATTCTTTCAATGCCGAGTCTGTAAGGTGTATGAATAGACTAACTTGCATAACTGGATGTAACCATGCAGCTGGGCCAAAAAGCTTTTGGATTCCTGTTCCAATTGAAAGTGTTTTTCGGGTTCTGTCTTCAAGCCCAGACTGTAATGCTCAATATTTGAGTGTTCTGCTGCAAATTATTTTTGCACCGTATTATTAAAAATGATATAATCTGAGACATTGGTTATTTTCTGTTCAGAGACAAGTGCACGTTCTTATAATAAAATATTAAGTCTGTCAAACCGTGAAGAAAATCTTGATTGATTGGGATAAGGCAGCTTGTTTGTTAATGTCGATTTTTGTGGAATGTGGAATGTTATTCAAAACAGGTTCTGCTGTTCAAGGAAATATATTTATTTGCCGTAAGTTTTGTGTAACATATTGAGTGTAAATGTTATCAAGGTCTGTCAGTTCAATACTATTAGAATTCAATTTGAAAACTCACTTAAGTTATTCTCAACAGTCATGAATGAATTTAAGACTATAAACTACAGCATGTGTGGGAAGCAGTCATTATGTTACAGATGTTTAAGGATTTGCAGTTTAGGGCAGGTGTTTTATAGGATTTCATTATTGATTTTTGTTTTATTTTTAGATCTCTCCCAGCCAAGCAAGTTTAACTCACAGTTTAAAATCATGAATCACCACAAATTTCACATGTAGTATTGCAGCAGGTTTAAAGACAAAGAATGTGTTTGTGTTTATTGGAAACTGAATGTATTTTCTCATGTACATGAAACTGTGCTTTTGAAAAGGCATCTTCTTGGGTGCATGTAATGCCAGTTTCTATGTAAAGTCTTATGTATGTCGTTTTGAATGTGGAGCAGTAAGGTTATTGCAGGTAGTGTTACAGCTAATTTTATTTTGTGTTTTCACTAACAGACTTATCTTTCTCTTTATCCCTCTAGGTCCCGGATTGCCATGTTATTAAATATATGCCTAAAGAACAACATGACGGGAAATCAGCTGCTCTGCTTGTAGGAGCGAAGAACGTTTCGCCTTTTTATGTAAGATTTAGAATATATCTCCAAATTCCAGAAAATTAAACTTTCAGAAAAGGCAGAACAGAAGAAACTTATTTCACATAGCAATGTATATTTTTGTTCATTGAGGATCCATAACCTAAGTCATTTTCTTTGATCACGGGAAGAAAAGATTTTCTGTATAATTAAGGGCTGTTTGTAGAATAAACTACACCTTTCAGGGATGTTGAAACCTGCTGAATACTCCTATGATTTCTCATCAGAGCTGGACAGCTGAAAGGGTGTTAATGCACTCTGCAGGCTAAAGCAATGTCTTGAGTAATGGTGAAGCAAAAGGGAAAAGGGTAGATTAAATTTAATTGGTCTGAAACTATTCATTGCAAAGGAAAATGACTATTGGTAGGTATTATATGTTACTTAAAAGAAAGGCTGCCTAGGTCTCTCAGCAAGAGAGCTAGTGATCAAGTGCTTTCAGATGTGACTTTATTATTCTCAGAAAAGATGCAAAACATACAAATTATTCAGACTTCTCCCCTGGCCCTGATATTAATTGCTTTGAATGCCCAAAGTATCTTATTTTCAAGACTTGTATAGCTAGTGCTTGATTTTGCCATGCAGTTATCCCCCTGGGAGAATTTACATTTGGCCCCATGAAAAAGAGGCAGGTTCAATTTCTGTTTCACCTGCCTGTGGAGAGAGGAGTATATATTGTGGCTTGCTAGTTGGTGTTACTTTACAGTTGCAAATGAGAGCTAAAAGCCAACTAAAAAAAAAAATTACTTTTCAGAGTGAAAACGCTGTTGAAAAACAGCCTGATAACTAGAGGAAAGTTGCAAGAAGAGGTGTAAACATTTTATTTTGATTTGACTTACCAGCATTACAGATCTTTATTGCTGACATACAGTAGACTTAAGAATTATCTGTTGCTTGCAGTCCTACCAGTGACATAATTGGGCACCAGAATCCCATCCAGGCAGACGCCAGTGTTTTTTGCTTATGTAAGGCTGTAGAAACGGGTCTAAGCTTCAGTGTTCTCATCCTGTAGGCTATAATCTAGCAGACCTAGAAAACAAGATTCCATTAACATGAAGCATGAAAAAAGCAGTGGAAATGAAACTGCTTTAAAAAAAAAAAGTTTTTTTTTTATTCTTATACTAAGGGACGGATTTACATGAAGGAAAAAGTTCATTTTTTTATTTGTCATTGAAATGTGGGACTTAAATGACTGCAGCCTACAGCCTCGCACAATCCCATTTAAAGGGCATTGGTTCTCTGTTCTGCATTTTATGGCTGTCTTTAACGTGGTTAGTTTCCTTCGGAATCTGTTTGTGCTCTGAATGTTTTACACCTCAACCTATTGCTCTGTAAAAGTTTGGGGATTTGATTATTTCCAGCTGTGAGGGAAGAGCTATTCTAAAGTTGTGAAAGACATCGGACCTTCTCTGTTGTCAAGATGGTTTTAGTGTGTGGCTGCTTCAGAGCTGTCATTCTCGATTTCAGCACATGTGCTTCCCTTTTATTCATTTCTTACAGCCCCTACTTTTTGCATTTTACCTTAATTAGAGACGGAATAAATTAAGATTGCAGTATGAGGCAGGTGACGTTAGTGTTTAAAGCCTAGGAAGCATTGTTTCCCAAGGTTAGTTAAAATGAAAATATAACAATTTGGCGATGCTAGGGTTTCTGGCATTTTTATAAGGACTGAATGGGACAGTTCTCTACTGACAGATCGCTCTTCAGAAATGTGTGGGTCACAGAAAGGCCTGGGATTACCTTTCTGAAAATGTGCCTGTGCTCTTCAGTAGCTGTGTCGCTGCTGCCCATTTTTTGTGCTGGAAAAAATCAGTGATTGTCAATCCGATTATATTATGGAATATTAACCACAGCGTTTTATCTTGGGGACATTATGATCAACATAATATGGTTCTTTTCTGTCTTCTAGAAATCAGAAGCGGCCATGGAGATGTATCGCAATGCCGGGGTGCCCCCAAAACAGAAAATTACAACATTCAAAGTGTCAGATAATGCCATCATCAAGCCAGGTAGTGTGTTGCTCAGACTTTCTCACCTGTTGCTCTCTTTTTTTCTGTTGTGGTGTCTTTGACTGTTATTGATGGGCAATTGTACTTTTAATACCCGAGTTAATCACAAGACCTAATATTTCCTTCTCAGAAGGACAGATTCTGAAAAAGCAGGCAAAGAACACAGACGTGTGGTGATGTGTTAGAACTTTTACAAAATGGTTCAATTGTTTTCTGTGCGTGACTGATGGTGAAGTAAGACTGCCTTTGATTCTTATTTTGTGTCCTAAATGGCTTCTTAAGTAAAGATTGTGATGTAAAAAAACATTTTGGATTCTTTATGAAATGGTGAAAATATTGTCGAACCCATTGAGAAATATTTTATTTTCTTTCATGACGTTTTTGCTTCAGAACTCCCATGTTTTGAACACGGCCTGTCTTTTTGTTCCAGGAACACCTCTGTATGCAGCTCACTTCCGCCCAGGACAGTATGTTGATGTGACGGCAAAAACGTAAGTCAGACTCATGTGGATTTCCAGTCCGCCTGCTGGTTCACTGTAGGTATGGAAATCCCAGACGGGTACATGCTGAAACCAGTGAACCCCAACTGAGATGTAGCAGCCCCTCATATGATTTTATCCTGTTTCTGTTTTTTTTATTTTTTAACATTTTCTTAGTCTTAATAGAATCTGAAGCAAAATGTTTTTGTACGTAAGTCATGTCGCAATGACGATGATATTTTTCCATTTGACATTTACACAGCATGTATAAAATCACGTAATGAGGCTGCTACATGGTTCGTGGGCTGTTTTCTTTTGTCCGTTTGTCCTCTGTCATGGCGCCTCCGTTGGTCATTTTTACAGTAATGCTTTTACAGTGATGCATTTTTAGTTGGTGAATTTCTCTTCAGTCCGGCGTTATTTTACCTGGTACATTTCCAACACTGTGCGGAATAAGTGGCATTTCTATTAAGAGAGTAATTACCGTGCCAGTGTTCAAAGCATAATACCACAGAGTGCAGGTAGGTGTTCCAGGATGGGTTTATTGTCCAAGAAAAGAGATGTGAAGCATCACTTGTTTTACTGCGTAGAAGCCATGCATTGTGGAGACTTTGCTGATATGTGCAGCCAAGGTAATATTACGTATTTATTTTTTCTCTCTCCGTGTTTCATGTAGTACGAAAATTGGGTAACCGTTGTATTACTGCATTTTCAAAGTGTAAAAGGAAACAAATCCCATTGGCCTTTCTAGTAAATTATGAAGGGCATGTCTGTTAGCTCTATGTGTAATGTGATGGGTTTTACAAATGTCTTAGCATCATTTATATAATAGTATGGAACAGTACACCATATGTCTTTATTGCTACTAATTGAAGGTGTTTAATTGATGAAGGAATAGTTTATGGGTAGGGGGAAGTTAGAGTCTTCTTAAATTGCTAAAGAGTGACCGACTTCCTGGTTGAAATGGTTTTAGTCATGCCGAATTGCTTTCTTGACACAAATAACTCTTGAGAGACTTTAATCTCCTGCGTTCATTTAATTAAAATGGATGACCATAATTTAGAATTACTGCAGGAAATGTGCTATTGTATAATTATAATATAAACAGTGTTCTGAACTTTAGGCACAGCTGAAAAAAAAGATAATCGAAATGCCAGAAGGGAGAAAGAAAGGAATGTCGTATTAGAGGCATTTTTTTCTGTATTACAACAGTAAATGAACAGAAGGGGAATTAGTCATAGGTGGATAGTATTAAAAGATTAGAATAAATTAAAATGATAAAGATGCTTAATTGATATTTCACAGATTTTTTACAATAGAGGATGCCAATAACGTGCCCCGTGTTGTAGAACACATACTTTCAATATTGAGTCATTTCAACATGACTGACTCTGACGTTCTAGAAGGGCGATACAAAAACAAGGGGCTTGCTGGGATAGGGCCTGGCTCCCCTGCGACCCTGTGTTGGATAAATCGGTTGGAAAATGAATGGATGGACAAAAATAAGGGAAGTCATGGGAGTTGTCAGGTGCATGGCATGAAATTTAACACCGATAAGTGCAAAGCACTGGAAATAGGAAAATACCACTGTACAGACTGATTCAGAGCTGCAGGAAGCTACACATGAAAGTGATCTGGGTCTCTGTTTAGATTCTTCTCCGTTTTCATCACGGCCGTTGGGAGAGGCAGTAAAAAGCAATACGCCAAGACGTCGCTTAGAGTAGTGTGTTCGTTGTTGGCTACCTTGCCGTCAAAAGTAGGTTATAGCCGTGGTGCAAGGAAAGGCAACAAGAATGCTACGTTTTCTCAGAGGGTTACGTTAAAGGAGGCAGGGTAAGGGAGATAAATCTCTTCAGTCTAGATCAAAGTATTGCAGTAGGAGATTCAATACAAGTAATATAAGATGCTCGTATAATAGGTATCGATAGAGTTAGCCTAGAGGGCTGTTTCACACTCGGTAAGTCTCCTAGTCATGGCATTCCTTGGGCTCTGGCAAAAAAGAGGCTCTGAATCATGGGAGACCATACTTTCTGACCTGTTATGAGGGTGGATATACGCTGGATATCAGTTCTGGTTAATTGCAGTCTTAACGTGTAGACTGTCTGTCGTTTTTTTGCTTTTGTCTCGTTTCATTGCAAAGCGCCTTTATGTCACGGAGGGCACTATATGCAGTCAACATGAGTAGCACTCCGCAGTGGAGTTGGAAGGGGTTGCATAGAGAATGAATAGCTTGTTGGATAATATCTCTGCAGTGAGTCTGCTAATTAGGAAAAATGTTATCGAATGCTTTAGTATTTCATGGCCGCACTGCAAGCCCCTGTTTGAAACATCTCATTAGAGTTAAAACGGAGAACTGTATTCTTGAATCTCTGGCTAATGTGTGAATGATGCTAAGGTGAAATGGGTATGGACTGAATTGCTTAGCATATGGGCATTGGATGTTAATGGGATAAAGCTTTACTGTTGTACGATCATAAAAGATTTGATTTACGTCCAGACGTGTTCTGCACTCCAGAAAGAAGCCAGAGCTTTTGACTTTCAGTTTAGTTTGCAAGAAAAATATTTTACAGCAAAATAAAAAGTGACTTTTAGAATATTTTTTTCTATATCAGTCTCTTGACTCTTTGATACCCATTACAGCAGCCTTCAAACTGGGTTCAGACACTTGAGTGAAACAAAAAAGGTTATTAAAATGTTTTAATTATAACACCATCCATAAAAGTGGAACAAACAAATATTATTTGTATATCGGTGTTCACAAACTAGCACGCTATTTTCCTGAGAGCTATCTTAAGAAGTCCTTTCAAAAAAGTAGAGCTACAGAAAGTCACTCAATAGAATTCAAAATCAGTATTAAATGTTTTTTGTATTTAAATACAATCTTGCCATCACCTTATACCTAGAACCATAAAATGTGGAATATCCTTAGTTTAGGTTGAATACTTCAAACCAATGCAACGTTACTTGTGCGATACAGCACATCGCTAAAATAGGACGGAGCTGTTGGGTTAAACACCTGGAAGTAAAAAAAAAAGTTTGTTTCTGTAGAAATTTCATTTTAATTGTAGATTTTTTTCTATTACAAGAATTGAAGAAAGGTTTTTTTCACTGCTTCTCATTTAGAGCGTTTTCTTAAGGACAGCTCATCATTTAAATTCCTGCCACATGGGTTCTGCCAATTATGCAGTATCGAATTATCAGTCTGTGCACTGCCTCATTGAATACAGCATGAATTACGTCCTTATCAACTTGTATGCATATTCATCACATTGGCAGTGATCTGATTGTTGCACTTAAGTTTACAGTATTTCCACACCCGTTTAATAGTTTCTATAGATGTATTCTTTCCAGAGCTTAAGAAATATTTCTTTTTATATTTTTATATATATCATCTTGGTATCTTGATATCATCATAGGGCACCTGCGTGGGTGTCTGTCTTTCCAAAGTAAATAATTTTTTGCTCCCACAGTTTTATTTCAACATGTTCCACGGTAAATGTTACCATCTCACTGTCAAAAACATACAGCTCATTAGTGCTCATTAAGCTATCACGACAGCTCTAGAATCCTCTGCGTGAAAAATCTCATTAGAAGGAAAAATCGAGTATTATATTTGTGTATTTCAGCCTAAAGTGTAAGTGATGACAGAGCTTTGAATCTGGGGGGACTCTGGATTAGAAGATAGTTGAAAGTTATTTTTCCATTTTTTTTTATTTTGTTCACAAACATTTTGTAAAGGTTCCCATTGAACACTTACACCCTTCAGTCCTCAGTTGAATGTCTCGAAGGCTATAATGATGTGCTAACAAGTGGATGAATCCTTGTTTTCCCCAGAAACCTAATTTGCAAAGTGAAACTCCACAAAAATAATGCGCAAGGTAATGTGCTTTCAGTCATTTTAATGAGAGTGCATGTCTGAAAACAAAAATGTTTATAAATTTCTCATTTCAAAACCATAGTCCTAAAAACCTTAGAATGTCAGTGTATTCAGAGAAGACAAGATAGTATGCAGTAATTGGTAGATGCTTATGTGCACTGGAGAGACAATTCAACATGAATAAAATTATACAATCTTAATAGAGGCATCCAGTGAGGGAAGAATGATGATTTCATTGGTGCTGAATCCAGAACCTGATTTTTGTGTTCCGCAGTAGAGAACACAGTGAGTTACTCAGCAGTTTTGGGAACAATTTAATTACCATCTTATTGACATCAGGCGCATATATTCCTACATGCCCATGTATGATATTGGTTACGGCTGAGTGTGGGGATTAGAGCTGAAAAAGATATCCTCTGCATGTCGTTTCAGGCCTTCCGTTACATTCAAATAAGAAATACTCTGATTGCTCAGCTCAGTCATCTGATATCTAGCTCATTGTTGGGTGAAATGAAGAACAGAACATGTTCCAAGAGTGCTCAGAATGAAGTTTTTTATTTCATATCATCTTTTGCTTGATTTCTTCTTGTGTGTTCTGTTTCCAATGTAGTTTTTACATTTTAATTGAGATGTACTTATGATGGTGACAGATATGTTCTGTTTAATAAGAACAACCAAATAATAAAAAGTTCTGGCATAACTTTTAAGGGACTAGTTTACAACCATGTTTCCTGCAGATTTATAACTCGGAGTCTAATATTATACTGTGTTTTGATAAAATATATTTACAAAATAATTTGATATATAGGAAGATTTCTGGATTTGTTTCTGAGTACAATAAGTGGGGAAAGAAAACTAATGTTTTCACATGCAATATCTAAATAATAATATACTATTTTTATCCATATTAATTCACAATATGAAAGTGTTAAAGTTAAAAAAAATAGTGATTAGCATGATGGGAACGGACAGGACACATAATCTTCGTTATTATCAGTAAGTACGGTCATTTACTCTGTTTATACCCCCAACCTAAGTGAGGAAGCTTGTTTTCCAGAAGATCCATTCTCATAGTTTGTGTTCATAGATTGTGTTGTGATGCAACCATGCAAGAGAGATGAATTTAAGATACTGGATAGATTTTCTGTAGAAAAATCGTTCACAACCCTGGTGTTGGGGATTTCATTTTTCAATGTGGAAAGTGCTGTTAACAGTAGAACAAAACATCCAAGATCCAAGCTATAAAAGAAATAAATTTACTTTGCTCTTTATGTGAGCTCAGGGTAATTAATCCCGGTGTTATCAAATGGTTAGAGTCTTCAAACATCATTAGAGTCTTCTTATACTTAGCAGTTTTAGCAAACTAAATCTCCTTCTTCTCAAAGGTTTTAATGTCTGTGCCTGTTAATGTAAGAAACATATCCCCATTAGACCATGTACAGTATAGATACATGTAGGAAGATACAGTAGAAAGGCTTTTAAAACATCTTCTATAAACTTTTCTCATTTTGTATATGGATATCCTTTTCAATAGATCATTTGCACCAGAATATTGTTTTTCCTACATGTTAATTTCTGAAATAAAATGCAACATCATTATTATTAATATATCCCGAATTAAAACTGCACAGGGTTGAAAAAATTTAGACTTCCAAACATTTTTTCTTGGCCTTGACCTGCTGTTCTAGAAGTTATCCATTGAGATTTGGATAATTACTGTAATCAAACCCCTTTTTTTCTGAGCTTAGCTACAATTATCTTATGGCCCTAAAGGGTTCTAAATAAATAGAAACTAATACCTTTATCAAAGCCAGTTAATTTTGTAGGATTATTTTGACTTTAACCTAGAATGTTACCTCTGTGAAAGAGTTGGCTTTTGACATTTATTTATTTTTGTATTTTCATCTACAGAGATATGTTTTTATGCACGTACTGTAGTTTTGGATTGTGGACTTTTCATTTCCCGTCAGGAGTTGTTCATCCAATATACCATGGAATTATAGGCCTAATACACAGAATGCCATGATTAGGGTTGTGCATTTTCCGGGGTTTTTTTAACATTGCAATGCAGCTCTGAACCTCAGTTGCCCAGTTGCATTCTAGTAAATTGATCAATTTAATCTCCAGTCTGACTCAGTTTCTGTGTCATTGTCCCTCAACAAGAAATTAAAAATTAGAGATGGGCTTAAAGTTGTAGTGGGACCGATGACTGGAGTGTAGACTTTGTAGAATATTTGTAGAAAAGTGCGCATGGTACAAGTAGACCAGCTGGAGTGTTCACATCTGCCTATATACCTGAAATTCATCGGTGCTTTTTTGTCTGGAAAAACATCATTCCTCTGGCTTGTGCTATAAAGTTTATTTAACAAAGGCAGGTATGAATTTTTCCAAAGATACAGAAAACAATAAAGCAGATACATCAGAGACAGGCAACTGACTAGAAACATCTTAATGTTTCTGATCATATTCCTAACTAATACATACCATATTAAAATCTAATAATTAGTTACAGTGACAGGCAGATGAATGCTCTCTGTAGGTATGTTAGGCAACTATTTTCCACCTTAACAAGGTAAGCTAAAACATATCTCACTGTTGTTACCAGTTCAGATGATGTTTCTATATATGATCAGATTTCAACATTGCAATTCTCCACATTAACCAATTCATGTTGATCTTTACATTTAATAGCTAGTTATTATGATGTTTCATTTAAACCTGTGTAATATGGATGTTTGTGACACTTTTCCACTTGTAAGGCATGCTCATAATTCACAAAAGCTAAGGATGTATCAAATATCCCTATTGGATTTTTCTTATTTCCTGAACTAATCTGTTGAGGGGTCAGGGTGGGTAATGGTAAAACCTATTGAAACCATTACCCGAATAATAAAATCTCCATGTCTTTTGACAAATTATATATTTAAACTTTTCAGGGTTCAGCTACTATAGAAGAGTTTTTATTGTAAAGTGATTGGAGTGGCCATGGATTAGTAAACTAGCACTTTGAAATAATGCGTGTGACATGCTCTTCAAAAGAAATCTTCACAGAAGTTACTTTACCATTTTGAGGTACGAAAGATATTCTAAAGAATGTAAAAGGTAAATGTCTGTGCTTATCAATAGCATTATTTGTTTGTCTGCTAATTGTAAGCATTGTGGTAATGGAAAGACTGATTGTAATGATTGAAGTAAAGCAAAGGAATGATTATTTAATGGTTTCTCATTATGCGGCTTGATGTGAGGTTCATGTGATGTCTTGGATGACTGGCAAAATTAATTAGCAGTTGGGGAAAAAACATGTTTTGTAATCTGGTCAGGTTTGCACTAATGACATCTTTCCGTTACCGATACAACAATAGAGGCAAGATCTGATCATAAGAGTTAAAAATGTGATTATACTACCGGGTTTTAACTTCATGGGGAGAACCTGATGCTAGCTGGTAAAGGACCATGCTGAGCTTGCACAGCGTCAGTTAAATGAATGTTCTCATTTTTTCACAATTTCATTAGTTCTATAAAATACAAAGTTTTTACAAATTCCCTATTTCATCTTTAGCATTACAGAGCACAGCAGCTAGTACTTTGATGTTTTATGATTTTATTCAAAAGATCATGGTGCGAACCTTCTGCTTTTTTAAGAGCTAATTTCTACTGCCTTTGTAGCCGATTGCCATGACAAAAGTGTTTTTTGTGTAACAATTGGGATATTACTTTGGCCTCATCTTTTTTGAGTGAAATGACACCAAGTTTAGAATTTTTAATCTCCGTGCAGATATTAGACTACTTTATTGAATTTTAATTATGTGGATCATATACTAATCTGCTCTGAGACACGTTGGTAGACGAAAGGCATTTCAGACTGTGAAATCAAAGGAGTAGAGAGCTCCTTCATTCATAAAAGAAAATGTTTCAGAAGTAAAAGCTTGAGTCCTCCTGTGATCCCTAACAAATTAAAAAGAACATTTTATATATATATATAAATTATTCCACTTTAAATAAAGTAGAATAAGGAATGTGATGTGGGTGACAACCGAAATGTTGTTAGGGGCATTGAATGTACGAACAGTCATTATGAATATGTGCAAGAATCAATTCTATACACACATCTCACGTGAAATATAGAGCTAAACGTTTTTTTCTTATTTGTGTTTTGGACTGAATTAAAATGAATAAAAAATAGTTCACAAAAATGTAATGTTAAAACAAATATAGCCATATCATACATTGAAAGCAAAATTTAAGCATTTAAGATGTTGCAGTCACATCGGCTCACATTGAAGAATTGGATGATTAAGAAGAATTTTAGTGATTGGTTTCTTTACTTTTCTGTTTTTATAACTCGATTGTTATGCTTTATTGATACATGCATAACAACTCCTGAGATCCACTGGTTTCTTTTATCAATAACTGTCACTCAGCTACATTTTTTTATTATGTAGTAGTTCAGGTGGGGAGCTGCGTCAGCATGCGTAGGCTGCAAAGGAACAAGTAACAGGTTTATTCCATTCCTAAAGAAACTAAAGAAACACAAGTATACATCACTGAATGTCGTCGTGACCAAGTACACTGTGTGTTGTTTTGAACTGTTCTGAGCTCGCTCGCTCAACGTGCTTTTGTTTTCTCTCAGAATTGGCAAGGGCTTCCAAGGTGTGATGAAGAGGTGGGGCTTCAAGGGCCAGCCAGCATCCCACGGCCAAACCAAAACTCACAGGAGGCCAGGAGCATCGGGCCCAGGAGGAGTAAGTGTCGGGCGTGTGTGCAGACATTCAGAGCCTCCCTGCAGTAGCTAAGCAGTCGTGTGTCCTCGTAACACCTTCTCTTCCACAATGTGCTCTGGAGCACAGCGTGAAATTGAACTGTCTGGAGACCCATTGATCCTGCTGGATCTGGGAAGGCAGAACTCCCCGTTATCGAACAACATTGTGATAAAAACAAACAAACTAGATGCATCTAGGATAGTCTCAATTTATAAATAGTTTGAGTTTTTATTGATTATTTAAGACCTACAAGTTCACAGTGTTTATGCCTTCAGAAAGTTAAATTAGATTTAAAAACTATTTACTGCTTAAATAGTTAAATCTAAATATGCTCCTTTTGCTTTTTTAAGATGTTTGTGTTAAACCTAGCCTTAATTGTAAAATCTGCATCCCAAACAAATTCTTCATTCACCCTGCTGGCTCCTCTAGAGTGTCCAGCTGATACCACAGAGCTCTTTGATGCTGAAGAGTCCTTAACGGAAACTCGTTCAAGTCAGTCAGGGCCTGTCTCTTTTACTCGTTCAATATGTGTTGTAACTTTACTCCAAAGAGTCAATGAGCTTTAAAAGGTGTATAGGCATGAAGCCTGATAGCTCCAAAGGTGCACTGAAACAGAATGCAATAGAAATAAGTTCTTAGGGTACTATGTAGAATTGTCAGCAACATTATTGTGTATTGTGAGCAATTAACAACATTAATTTAGGCCCATCCCAGTCGAATCAGCATTTGTTTCTGCTCATCTGAAGTTTTCCTTGTTCTCTCTCTGATGTTTTGCAATGCTGTGCGCTCTACATGGTTAGATGTGATTGTGATTACCCTGCTGTACAGATAATACTGTAACGGCTGTTTTTAGTCTCTTAAAGAATCTAGCTAATGAACAATAGGTAGGTTTGTAAATATTCTGTATTGTTGTAATTTCTCTGTTTCTAGTTGATGTGCTGCTTAAGTTAGATTAGGAGACTCTGACAAACACGACCCCAATAGTTTCAAGTCATTTTACAGGTTTGTGTATAATTGGAGTATCCAGTTTTGGTGCATGTTTGCTCCTAGTTCTGTTTCTCAGTGGCGCCGCGATAGTTTGATGCCACAGGGGAGTTGTGGTGGACTTGAGTGTGTGGGGAGGGCATCAGGAAGTTCTGCCTGTCCCGATAATTCCACGGCCTGCCCTCCAGCTGCGGGTCTTCCTGAAACGAGGATGAGCAGAAAATTCCTTTCAAGATTAGTAGCTGCCCACTCAGGTCCCTTGGCAGCCGCTGACGCTCCTCCTGTCTTTCCTCAGTGCTGGCCTGCGCCAGGCTTTCCAGCACACAGTTGCTGGCGCGAGAGCTTAGCGATGGTAGTCTGCCACCCACATGTGTCTGCGGCTGCCTCCTCCTGTCTGCTCCTCATCCCGGCAGTGATGTCCGATCGCGAGTTTAAAGCTGGAGAAGTGCAGTGCGTTTCCTGGTCGTTTTTGAACTCTGGGAAACGAGGCAGTGGTTCCTGTGAATCTCTCTGAGCTCGAATCTGCAGGGCTCCTCGTCTTGACAGCTTGACAGTGATGTGAACAGCATATTGCTTGTACTGGCTGGGGCTTCAGAAAGTAGTGACTTGCTGTACTTGTGGAAATTAATTCAAGCATACATAGATATTCACTACGAACCAGCAGCTTAATCTTGCAGTAGATAGGTTAGGAATTGAATATGTTTTTCTATTATTTGCAAAATGTTCAAGATCTGCTAATAGAAAATTAAATTTATCAAGTATGGTGTACCTGACCATACCAATAAGGTTATTTTTCTTTTCATAGAAACCCCAATTAGCATTTATCACGTTATAGTGTGTACACTGTCCTGTAGCAGGTGAATATTAGCACTAAAAAGATTGTAAAATGATGGGATTTTAAAATATTTAAACCTTTTCCTCACATTGTGTATTCCTACTCTAGCTTAGTGAACTTACTAGCTTAGTGATTACTATTCATACATGCACAAACATTTTGTATGTTGTATGTTTTAAGAGATAAATCGTTTTCACTTAATACAGCTTTCAGAGTGAAGATCTGTACTATCAAGATATTAGAGCAGTTTTCCAACTCAGGATTTTTCCATTCCGGCCCAGTAGGTTCAATTTTCCTTTTAAATGCTAAAAATGTTTTAAATAATAAAGGCAGCCAGACGGGTTGCTGAATGAATTCAGCTGTCTTGATGACAGGAGATACAAGCCTTACAGTAAGTGTAGGCTCTGTTAAGTGTTCTACTGAGACTGTAACTAGAGAGAAAACTGGCAGGGAGCAGATCTGTGATTTCTCCAACCTACTACATATGTCATCCCAAATAGCAGATTCAGAAGCAAATTGCCATCTTTTTAAAAATATTTTAAAATATCTTTTTTTTTTACTTGCAGGAGTCTTCAGAATTAATCACATATTACACCATCTCAGTCATTCATTTTTCTGTCTGCGCTGAAGTAGAAATTCTGCATTGTTCAGGCAATACGCCTGGATTCAGTTGAAATTCTTTAATTTTCTAGGATCCTGCCAGAGTCTTCCCAGGGAAGAAGATGCCTGGGAAAATGGGAAATGTGTATCAGACAGCACACGGCTTGAAAGTAAGTCATATTTGGTTTTTATCTACTTTTGAATATGTGATCCACATTTTGCACTAAACCTAAAGGTTAGGTAGTGCACAGTAAAATTGATCTTTTTTTTCTGCTGACTCTATATATAACCTTTAAAGCACGTTTCAGAGTATTCCTGCAATAAAGCTGCAGTGACACTCAGAGCGCACAGCTGAGATTTCTCATTAAAGTGTCAACATTTCTTAAGGATTTGATTGTTTTGGTGATCTTCCTGTGTCAAACACTGACGCGTCCTGAAAGTGGTGTGAGTTTTAAATGCTGCGATAATCACTACAGAAAGGTGGCAAGTTTTCTCCCCTCCTGCCCTTCTGTGGGACATAATGGAAAACACAAGGAAAGGCATTTGTTCATTTTAGGGGATTTAAGATAAAATGAGGTTATGATGTTACCACAGCCTTTCCGAGTGAATGACCCATTATGTGGTGCTTTCTTGTTACTAGTCCTGCAGTGAGTTTCACCACTCAATGTATAGTCCAGTCTGTGCATGCCTAGTCTGTGTGAAAGCATACATATGTTTTGCATATGATGTCAACTCAAGGAGATAAATTGATTATTTAATAAGAGAGCAATCATCACATAAGTGGTTCACTGTGAATGTTCAGTGTTGATGGATTTTTGCAACATCTGTGCAGTTTATAGTTTCTGTAAATGTTTGCTATTTTTTAAATCTTTATTTCTAGATTTGGAGAGTGAACACAAAATATAACATTATCTACGTAAATGGCTCTGTTCCCGGACACAGAAGTTGCTTAGTAAAGGTAAGCACGGTCATCTGTTAATTTTTTTATTTATAACATTAAGATGTACAACACTGGCTGCATAAGTCAACTTGGAAATATAAACAAATGGTTAATTTGGCCGCCATTGCTTGATAACAGCAGTCACCTTGCAGTTAGCTGTCATACACCTTTAGTCATCAGCAATGCAGTGGAGGAAAGAATGCATTAATATTCATTTAAAGAGTATTGATCACGGACGCCAGTACTCTCCTTTCTTCTCCGACTACATTTGCATTTAAAATGGTCTAAACAACTTTTGCATAATAAATGTTGGGTCTAAAATTAAATTTGAGCCCAGGTAGCATTCTTGCTTTATTTCCACTGTTTTTATTTCTTTCTTAGATTTATGAAGCAATATTTCAACTTGATAATGCGTGTACTATAATCTGACAGTTCTAGTTTGCAGAGTATTGTATTTGCTTTAATTCCACCATTTAAATCACTTTCCATAAGCATCACTTATCTTTCATGTAGGTCTTCAAACACTCCAAGCTGACATCTCTTCTTCCCCTTTTCATCATCACAGTAGTTAGTTCTGCTAGTTACTGCTTTGGCAAAATAGTAAAGTTTTTTTAAACTTTTCTAGGATAAGTGCCAGTTTATAATTGGTCAGAAATTCTCTTGCTGGTGTCAAGAGGGCATCAGGTCGTTATTTCAGTTTTCTTACTCACCTGGTTTTCTCAACATCAGTTGTCTGTTCATTATCTGGCAGGTTTTTTTGTGGAAATAAAGAGGGAAAATAATGTTTAAATAAGATATTTGTGAGTGCAGTGCAGTTCTCAGACCCTTGCACATTGAGTTGCTTTTAGGATTGCAGTCCTGGCACTTTTAATATAATTTTGTTATATATCCAATCTGCTTCACACATTCAAAGGAAAATAAAACCGAAAATAATTCAAATGTTAATAATACTGAAAAAAATATAGAAATGTAATTATGGCATAATTATTCAAACTCTTTCTTTATGGCAAACCTTACTTAATTTAGGTGCTCAAAATTACCTTAGCAAGTCACATAATCAATTGAGTGCTCTCTATCTGTATGCAAAACTGTAGATATGTACTATACTGTGTGCTTGTTATGATGTCAAACTTGCAGTGTTTTAACACACTCTGTGAGTGCCTGGTCAGGTGGTGAATGTCAAGCATCGGCTCAGCCAAGAAAGATTCAAGGTATTTCAAAGTAAGAGGGTAAATTCATTGACAAGTATGAATCAAGAAAAGGCTAACAAAAAAGTCTACTCAATGATCAAAAATGAAAAGTGTATTGTACCATCCATACTGCCTTGATCAGGCTGTCCCTCCAAACTAGGAAGGGGCAGACTGGTGAGAGAGGCCACTGGGAGATCAATGACAACTAACTTTGAAAAAGCTGCAGAGTTCTGTGGCTAAGATGGGGAAAAATGTGCATCAGTCCACCGCATAGTCTCTCTACAAAGCTGTCCTCTGTGGCAGAGTGGAAAACCCCTCTCAGATCCTGCATGGAGTGTGCAGCAAAATATCTGGAGTATTCCATGGAAATATTGCACAATATTGATTGTGATCTGAGCTGTCAGATGAGATGGAGTTGGAAGTTTACGTCTGAGTACCAAGTCTTACATATGGCCGAGAACCAGCCTAACACATCTCTCAGTCAACACTATCCCTACACTCAAGCATGGTGGTGGCAGCATTATGCTTGAGGGATGTTTCTTCCCCAAAAAGACTGGACGGCTTGTTAGTATTGACAAAAAATGCACGGAGGTGAGTACAGGCAAATACTAGAGCAAAGCGTTTCAGCCAGATAAAGACTTAAAACCTGGGTGAAAATTCGCTATTCAGCTGGACAGCAATCCAATTCCAGAGCTGCACTGGAGCTTAAACACGTGAAAGTGAATGTCCTTGATTGGCCCAGTCAAGGTCCTGACTTGAGTCCTTTTGAGAATCTGTGGAAAGACTTCAACACAACTGTCCCCAAGTGATCTCCATGCAACCTGCGAGAGCTTCAGCATATCTGAAATGAATGGGCAAAAATTGTAACACCATTGCTTGAAACCCATTACAATATAGTTGTGGGCCACTCGGATTCTTACCACGGAAGCCCTGAAACTCTGCAGGTTCATGCCAACACGGGTTGTGTCGCAAGATGCCATTGAAATCAGCCCATCACTGACCTCTGACTCGCAGTTCAATCAAGGCAACAGTCCTCCAGCGGGACTCTTGGATAAGTAAGGGCGTGTGCCAGCTCGAGAGGTCGTCTGGCCTGCTAGCACAGGAGTCTGCTGAAGCAAACGCTGCAGGTGCAAACCGAGGTGCTCTCGCAGAGCCTTCCTCTTCTTCACGTACTGCTGAAGCAGATTCTGGAGAGCGCGGGGGACTTAATATTTGGGGACTTGATACAAACATGTTCCAAATCTTCAAACGCACTGACCGAATCAGCCCCACGGAGTTTGGCAGGACAAGCTAGGCAGCCATGTTGTTGAAGCAGATACCCTGGGTTCTTTCAAGAAATGGCTGGAAGAGATATATGGAGATATTATCTACCTACCTAACTGGATAGATGAGCTGAGAGGCTCCTCTCATTTGCCACCTTTCCTATGTTCCCACATTCTCAATTAGCTGTGAGTTTCCAGTTGAAATTCTCATGCAGCACGTGTATATTTTTGTGGAAATAAAGAGAGGAAAATAATGTTTAAATAAGATGTTTGCGAGAGCAGTGCCTTGCAGACATTTGCGGACCCTTGCACTTTAAAGTTTGCAATCTCGGCACTTTTAATAATATAAATATTTACATTTAGGAGATAGTATGATGTGAGAGCCACATAATGTACAAAATAATTATGTACAGCAACACAGAAATGAAAGTTTGGTGTCTGAACTTTTATATTTAAGCGCTGAGAGAAAGCAGGTTAATTTAGAGTTCTAAGATTTGGAACTCTGATCAGTCTTTCACAGTCAAGTGAATTCCCAAGGTAGAGCTTGAGCACTAGTGTGACAAATCAGCATAATGAGCTTAAAACCCCAGCTCTGAACTGCGCAGGAATGCCAGTGTTGGCTTGCATAGTATTAAAGAGATAGAGACAGGCTAGTTATGGAAATGGCAATCTGTCTTTAGTGTTCCTGGTGTGCCAGCTGACAGTGTAGTACTGTAACACAGAATTGCACTGGAGAAGCGATTAAGATTCTGGACTCCTAACTGGATGAATTTGGGTTCCAAGCCTTGTTAGGCAGTGCACGACAGGTACTTCTCCAAATTGCTCCAATTGAAATACCAGTTCTACATAAAGGGGAACAATATAGGTCACTTTGCGGGGAAAAAATAATAATCTCTCCAGAAAACTTAGTTTAAAGTCTGATTTTCTCTATTTCCTGTATCTGTAAATTATTTCTGGACAGTGTCTCAGTTGCTGCAGATTGTGCTTAGAATTAATCAGATTTACCCCTTCCCCAGTGACAAGAGAAAATGATGAGTCAAAGTGGGGATTAATTGTACAAATCCTTTCATGATGAGCTTTACTGAAATTCTTGTTGAAAGCTTCCCAAATACAAATGATTTAAAGACGGCACAAGGTGATTTCTTAATCATCTCATTTGAAGCGTATCAATTTCAAGCACAGTTGAAGTTCAGTGCCAACTAATAAACACCAAAGACCTTCCACGTCTATTGCCAAAGTCGATATTTCAAATGTGACATAATGCAAACTTGAAACATGCAGCACACGATTTCCCATGTTTCTCTCCAGAAAGACTCTCGTTCCTTTTTTTGACACCTGCAGGTTAGTGATGGCACAAGCAGCAGCCCCATTTTCTGAGTAAAACACGGACACTTTTTACCGTGAAACATGTCAGAAAATGCTCAAGACAGGATTGTCTAACATCCATGTAAAATTAGATTTTTCTTGGTGTGTTGCAGAGAACCTTTTTTTAACCTTTTTTTTTCTACATCGCTTTTCTTTTCAGATTCGAGATACAGTTCTGCCTACGCATTTGAAGACTGTTCAGGCACCTCCATTCCCAACTTTTTTCCCTGATGGGGATGAAGAGCTGCCGGAAGATCTGTACGATGCGGCAATGTTTCACTTCGGTGAACCTTCTGTCACTTGTGCTTGAACACGCTCCCGTGTTCTCCATGTGGCGGGGAGTGTGAACCTTGTCAAGGCTGCAGCTGTCAGCTTGTTGCCCATCAGTTTTGGTCGCTGCCAGTTCAGCTTCACATTTCAAAAACGAGACAGCAGAGAATGTGGAAGAGAGAACTTCAGATAATGAAGGGGAGCAGAGTGACCCCCACCACTGCATAACAGACACGACCGTCCCAACTTCTTTGTTTGCAGAAATGAAAAAATATCTCAGTACAGTTTTTAAAAAATTTAGAATTCTTTTGCCTTTTACTTTGATATATTTTCTATCTTTAACTGTTGAAAAGACTCACCCTTCAAAATAAAGCATAGAAATAATTCCCAAACTGTTTTTTTTTAAGTGTGCCATTTATTCATTAGTGAGTGCCCATTTTATGTAGGTTTTTGCTCTCAGAATATATCATGCATCAGTTAATGACTGTACATCATTTTCAGTAAACTGTAAACAACTACAATTAGCTTTCAGAATAATGGTGTGTAGTTTTCAGCACATAGAGGAAGCATTAACATGGATAGTTTGTGTTTTTGTTTTGCCAAGTCTCAGTTCTTAAATGGAAACATAAGAAATGCAGGGTAATTAGATATTTACTACATGCATTGTTGTTAAAAATTAAATTGTAATTTAGAGATGTTAAATGTGTTTACACACAGGGGACTTCTGAACATATTTCCAGAATGTACAAAATGGGCCACAGATTTGCAGTCAGATTTTTCTATTTGCCTCCACAAATCTCTCTGAAGATTAGAGATGCCCTCAGAAAAAATGTGTAAATTGGTAAAATGTGTTTGGCATGAATCAGATTCCTGCTGGGAGCTCACTTTTTTTTTTTGTGAAAGGGTAGTTCCCATGCTTTCGGTGTGCCCTTTCATGCCTCTCCACAGTATATGTGATAAATAGCATCTTCACCTATTCAGTTCTAGGCAGGAGCCATGTCACCCTGCTACTCACTGGTACCCGGTGACCTACTGGAGCTCAGCAGGTCTGAGCCTGGTCAGTACCTGGATGGGAAACCTGCTGGGAAAACCTAAGGTTGCTGCTGGAAGAGGCGCTCATCCTGGGGGCTGTGTGAGTCCTAATGCTCCAGTATAGGGACGGGGGACGCTACACTGTAAAAAGGCGCAGTCCTTCGGCTGAGGCATAAAACCTGACTCTCTGTGGTCATTAAAAATCCCAGGGCATTTCTTGAAAAGAGTAGGGGCGTTACCCCGGCGTCCCATTGGCCCTTACCAATCATGGCCTCCTCATAATCCCCTATGAACTGGCTTCATCACTCTGTTCTCCTCCATACTGAGAGCTGCTGTATGGGGAGCAGATTTTGACGTTGTGGCTGTTGTTGCATCATCCAGGTGGAGCTGCACACTGTTGGTGGTGGAAGGGAGTCCCCATCACCTATAAAGTGCTTTATAAGTATTAGGAATTAAATTAATTCTAACAAACTCTTCCAGGTCACAAAAGAGTTTTGCTGAAACAGTTCCAGTCTCAAGCAAGCTAAAGTGTGCTCCAATCCTTCATTTGAAAAACCCTTTCTTTATTTAAATAAAAATACTTTACTGGAACTGCATAACTTTGCATAACACAAAGCTGGTGTTTTTAAGATACTTATGGAGACACAATCGTTTTATCTGCACCCTTTGACATCATTGTGAAATAAAAGAGTTTCAGATGATGGAACTGAAAACCCAGCTGCAGTACTGGAATACAGTACCAACTGAACAAGATGCTGGGTGAATCACTGTGTCAAGCACTCTTGTGTCACAGAAACTTACCTTAGGGCATCTCATAATACATCCAGACATCTTGTGGTCTCTTGGGGGCTCCCTAGGAATGACAATACCACTAGAATAAGCACATTCTCTGGGTTTCAACTTTTATTTTCTGCGTGCAATGATAGTAATATTGAGCTTGGACTGATCTTCTCAGAACTTTTAACAATTCTTTCATTTACATGATGGAATTCTCAGAACCTCACTATTTGTCTGCAACTTTACCTGCACTGGAACAGAACACGGGAACAGGGAGTCTATTAACAGTGACTAATGAGCTGTCACTAGCTTTCTATTCCAGTAATCCTTTACCTTGTCTTAGAAGGAGTTATAAATTATTGAGATCATTACACTTTGCCTCTTTTCATTTACTGCAGGTCTTAGGTACAAAATATGTCTTTAAGTGCACTTTTTGCAGGCTTGAAAGATTTTGCAAGTGGCTTACCAATTGAATGAACTCTGGTTATTACGGTATGTGTCAGCATTGCTTGTTGGTTTATAGGAGTTTATTAATTACTGTTGTCCGTCGTCATCGTCCCCACTCCCATGGGCTGCAATGAATATTATGCTTTTTAATCATCTGGAATAAAATTAAAGACAATTGTGCATTATCATCAGAAGAACCGTTTTTTATTATATTCAATGTTTTGAAATGATTTTCATATTAAAGAGTCTTAACAGCCCTTGCAACTGTATATCAAATTTAAAAAAATATATGCAATGTAGGTGGATTTTAAAAATGCCATCTTGGAAAATAATCCATTATCAGAATCTAGGACTAGTGCTTTGAGTTATCCATGGCCCTGAAAACCTAACCTCAGTTCCGCATGGTCTCAGCTGCCTTAAGACAGTATTGTATTTTATCATTTAAAAAAATACAGTAATTGGTATCATATTACACCTGTATACTGTGTATGCAATATTTTAAATTGGAAAATCAAGCAATGTGTAAACCAATTAGTATATTCATCATAGTGTAGCACAGAGTTAAATGAAAAAATAAATCTCCTATGAATATATCTCAAGCTCATTAGGCAATCTATAAATTAAACCAGGGAACGCCTCCAATCTATGAGTGTGCTAACACTCACATCAGCTTCCATTGTTTGTCAATTTAAAGACACTGCAGCTGTATTCTCAATGAACGCTGCAAGGATTTTAACGAATCGCAGGAAAGGTGTTTCAATCAGAAAGTGCCAGTTTAGCGGCTGGAGTATCCCTCCCAGAAACCACCATGAATAAGAACAGCAGCAGGGATCCGATTTAAAGACCTGTTTTTTTCCAGAAATCTGCTTTGGTAGAAGTGGTGTTCTATAGCCGTGGTACCTGCAGACCAGCTGCGAGTGCTTCTGCGATACTTTGTGAGCACACAAGAGCACAGTTAAATGGTTATGTGTTCTCTTGACACAGGTGTCCCATATCAGTTCGTGCCAGGAACTGGACTAAGCAGAGCTCAGTCACGTGGCACTCACTGTGGGATGAGGGACTCCCCCTCAACCCCCTCCACCCACTAGCTCCGTTGCTAATGAATTTAATTAGTCCTATTACATTGATCTTAATTAGAGATGCAACGGCTTACCCTCTGCCTAGCAGGGAGACTTTTTTCCAGCAGTGGATTCCCGGAGAGAGTGCAGAGTTGTACACAAGTCCTTCCAGTTTTGAGATTTGCATGTGTTGGCAGTGACAGTTTGGGCCCCCTTTCCTCTGCACAGCGCTTATGATTAAAAAGACAGAGAGAAGAACCATCAGATAACTACAAAAACCAGTGTACAGTGTACTTTACTGCTAAACATATGCAGCGAATCTATGTTTTGTTTTAAATGCATCTCCATCCATAGAAAACACTTCATTCGTCTGCTCGTGTTTGAAATGCTGGCCAGGCTGTTTGCCGCTGCGATCACAAGGGCTTAGAGAAGTGTGAACTTCCCCCTCCTGGAAGGAGATCGATTTCTATTATTTTTGGGATTAGGTGTGTCCCGGAGGTGATGCATTTTCCACGCAGGAAGTACGTTTACAATGACATGGAGAAGGGCTCAGCAAATTACAGGATTGCAATAATAAGAACAGGAAGCCTCACACTGGGCCTGAACAGTGCTACCCAGCACCCCTACCTGACTGCGAGGATGAGGAAGCTCACAGTGCAGAGCACTTGGCCACGATTGGAAGATTATTCCACCTGTCAGTGGAGGCAGAGGAGTAACATCTCTAGGGAGGAACAGTGTAAATCCATCTTTTTTCCATTTGTCAGCTTGATCATCACAACAGTGACATCCATCTTAGATCCTCCTCATCCTGAATGTAGAGACAGATCTTGGGTAAAAAGAAAAACTGTCATTTATTCCACAGGGATTCAAGGATGAGACGTAATGATCTCCTTGCTGCCTCCGGAGATGGGCACTATTATGTAAATTAAAAAATAAAGAGGCCTCAGAAAATTCAACATGTTGTTACAGAAATGCACCGGAGCCTTCGTGTCACTTTATATGAATGGCCATCAGCATCAATTTAAATTATCTTAAACTGGTACCCGAAATCTAAAAGTATATAGATGTGCCAATTAAAAAAGCACAAAATCAACAAACTAACCAAAACTATTTACATGACAAACATAATTACTGTACTTGAGTAAAACTACTGTACTTGCTTCCTGCAAATACCTTTTTATGTCCAAATAGGACATGTGCCATCAAATATTAAGATCTGGGCAAAATGCATTTAAATGGGACGGAGAGTTTTGATTGATTATTTAATCCAGCAGTGAACATTAAGTGGAAGTTACTACTTCTTTCTGTAAGAGGCATCATTGGGGTGAAATTAATATAAACTCTTTACTAACACATTTCCCTTTTTTAAGATATACGGTCAGTTTCTCTTCTCTAGGTTTGAAAGAGTGGATAGAGGTCCCAGTCAGAATGAGTAAAATTTATTTTAACTACTACAGATTATTGAAAAGGTTAAAAATGAACATTTGTGTCTGGTTGCCTAACCAAGAGGATATGAGCAGAAGAGGAGTTCATGCAGTCTACAATGTCCCCTTGTCTGTAATCTCCTCTTTCTTTCACAGGTAGGTTTCATGACCCCAGGTGATCTGAATCAAGTCCACCAATCAAAGCCTGACAGCAGTGTGGTGGGGAACTAGTCGTACAGTATGTGCTTTTCACCACGCGATGTGACACACTGTGCTCACATCAGGCGTCAACTGCGAGGAGAGAACACAGAGGGACAGACCAATCCACCACGCTCACGAACACAGCTGAGCGCATCCAAGACCAATCGGTAACTTCGTAAAAAAGACACGAACCAAAGTGAATCCAAAAAACAAAAAAAAGAATCAAAGCAGGAATTATGATATATAAGAAAAATAAATTGATATTAAAGAGAACATGATAAAGAATATTCATATTAGAAGTTATGGCTATTAATAAAATATGGTGATGATACATATGTGCAAAAAGTCCTACATTTCCTAACAAAAACTGAATTATATCAATATTCAAGTCGAATATTAGTTTCCTTATTTTAACTCTTGCAAGAAAGCTGTTGAACGCTTTCAAGACTATAGTGGTTTTTTATAGTGGTAGAAAGCTGACTGCATGAATGTCATGAATTTCAAACATTTTGAAAGTGTCTTTGGCACAAACAATCCTGGAATTTCCATTTCAATAAACACTCCGGAATTTTTCATCAGGTGATCTCGTACTTTGTGACATCATCTTTAATAAAAGATGTTGCAATACATTAAGAGAAGCCAGCTTTTGAAGTTTCTGTGTACAGTTATTTTTCATTCTGATCCATAACATCTCAAGTTTAAACCAAGCAATGTTTAATTTGTTTATAATGTTCAGATTAACACAATAAAAGACTGTATATATATGCAGTTGTATGTTGTTTGTCTCTCCTTGTTGTCAGTGACAATCACCACATACAGCAAAACATATTTCATTCAGAATAGTTACTGAAATTAATACTTTTTTAGACTCAACAAAAGCCTAAAACTAGAGGAAAATATTGAAAGCCAACTACCGAAAATTCAAGGAAACCCAAAAACAGGAGCTCTACGTTCAAAATATAAGGTGCAAGAAATACCCTGATAAGGTTCTTGGATCAATAAACTACTGATAAGCAGCCTGTGAAATAGAATGGACCTCGTGAGTTTACTTTATCTCTTGGATTTTCTTTTGTTTCTTGTCAAGGTAATAGCACACCTTTTGGAAAAAAAACTAAAACTGGTATTGATGTAACCAGGGAGCAACAAACATTTCTCATCCAGGTGCTTTCTCCCTTCTAAAAATATACACATAATGAGAAAGTTCATAAACACTCATTTAGAAAATGAAATAGATCGTAAAAGCCACATATTCAATGAAGTTGAGATAACAGTGGTCTTTAATACAAAACCCCCTGTCAGCTCACCTGTTTTATCTCCTTTCTGAAATAATGGATACCATTTCAATTTGTTGCAATCCATTGTGATCCACTGAGAAGCTGAATACTGACAAAATGAGTGAATAGGCTTGATGAGAGAAAAATTGTACTACGTTTTTAAGCTATTCTGCACTTGTCTTAACATCAAATTTAATCTCCTTCCACAATGAGACAGGGAACATTTCGTTTTTAAAGGCTCCATATGCAGAACAGAAAAAATAAAAGAAGTGAAATGAAGCTCCTGAATACAAAATATATGTGACCTTTATCTTGGTAAACTGAATAAATCATGATATCAATTTTGAATGAAGGCTCATTGACTGATTAGCCTGTACAGAAAAAAAATTAAAGAAATGAATCGGCAACTTAGAAAGCATTAACAGCCCCCTCCAGTTTCAAAAGGTCAGACTTCAAGAGCTAGGGTACTTCCTTTCTGTATGGCATACACAGGCCACAAACACTGAAAATCAATTTTACATGACAAAGGCAGACGGCGATGGAGATTCAGCATAAAGTTACCTAATCTTTTCCTTCAAAAGATATTCCCAGTGGCTTCTGTGATTGTGAAGGAAACGCAGCGGTACTGCCGAGAGATGTGACGCTGTTGTTTTGGCATTTTTGTTTTCCAAAAGACAGACTGCGTAGTTTCCCAGTGCGTTTCCCTTAGACCTGTTGGCCATTAGCCTGCAAGTGAAATCCAGTGACATTTTCAGAATTCTATGGATCAAAATGGCACTACCCAGCAAATGGGATCAGCACACAGTGGGTATGATATCTGAATCACAGGAACGGTTTCCTAAATACTTTGAAAATCACAATATAAACACTGAGAGGACAGAAAAATAAACTAGTAGGTGGCATGCATTTGAGCACAGCTCACATTTCTGGACTAAGGCTGACCGCCTTTTTCATCCATCAATATACATTTTTTGTTATTTTGATGAACTGTACTTGGCTATTCACCATAAATCAGCCCCCAAAATACCAAACTCAAGTTTGGTATGAGTATATGATGAGAGGTGGGGAAAAAAAAAAAAAAAAAACAAACACGGGAGGAAATGTTTTGAGTTTCTGAGAATTCTGCGAGATCAAGGGCAGAGGTGTAAAATGTGGTACTTTTCTGAGACTAAAGAAGAAAAAATACCACAAAAAAAACATTGTCATTGATAAAATCCCACGAGGCTCCGAGCGGCACACGAGCATTCCTGTAATCCCGCTTCAGAATCCCGTGGATGGGCACTGGCTGGGGTCAGCAGGGACAGCCCTCTACGGACTCAGCACTATCACCACGCGCGTCTCCTCGGATGGTTCAGTCCCTCCCACGTACTGAATCCACCAGGAGACTGACTATGCGATTGAGATAAACAGTCCAGTACAGAAAAAGGAAAGCAAGCGGAACCCATCATTCTTCTCCGTGCATTCTTGCAGGAAAAGACTGTTCTTTTCCAGTCTATCGCTAGTTTTCACATGAGTGATTCTGGCGTCCCTTCACCTTTAGGTGCGCCACAGATCTATGGATTTTTTCCAGTTACCTGTATCTTGTCCTAAAACTTACAGTATGGTATAGTTTCTCCATGAGCTGAGTTTGTGTCAAAGATCGCTCTGGAAGACATATTTACACAAGCCTGTCACAACATATTGACTATACTGTTGGCTATACCTGTATAAATACAGTATAAACTATATTGAGTTTATATCTTTAATATCTTAGGTGCACAACTGCTTTAAAATACATGCTGTATTAATTGTCCAAAAAGCTTCTGAATGCAGGTATACACATGTAAAGTTACATTTTTGCATTGTACACTTAAAAGTACGATTTTGGTAAACAGAACATTCTGCAATTTTTAGCTTTAGAACTATAGTTTCATTTGACATGAAAACACAGAATGTGATTTATACAAATATTCTGCCATTTCACCCCACTGTAAAAATCAGGACACAAATGTTACTTGACAGCATATACTGTAGAGTACAGAAGATTGCCAGAGGGATTTTAAAAGTGATTAATTACAGAAAATATTATGAATGTTAATTTGGAAAATTCAAGGGACCACAGGTTCATTAAATAATTCTAACAGTATATAGATTGAAGCACATTCTAAAACCTCAATTTTAACAAGGGTATGGTACGTTTTTAAATGACTACTAGAAGGCAAGATTCAAGCAGAATTGTAGTTTTCATATTATTTCAGAAATGACTTTTTTTAAGTACCAAGTGATTACACAATGTAGAAATTAACATAATGCATTTCTCTCTAAGCATCATATTTAAAAACAGGCTGCGGAACTTTTCTAAATGCAAATTGTGAGTCCAAAAGCTAGATAAGCTGTCTTTTAGCAATAACATAAAAGAGAAACTTGTGTCAATCAACATTTTTGGTTTCTTTAGTAAAATGTAGACTTAAATGCTGTTTTAAAACAATGTCACTAAACATCATAAGAATATCACAGACCAACATGATCAATGCTGCTCTAATATAAAGTGATTATACAGCCATATTTTTATCTAAACATGTACTGTGAAAAAATATCAGTTTATGCTTTCATCCTTAAGACACATTTGCTTAATTTAATTTAATCTAATCAAATCAAATATAATTGGATGTTTTAATTTTTTGCCAGCTAGTGTTAATAGTTTAATTGCAGATATATGCACATTTTATATTAGCAAGTCTGCAGCTGGTATTTATTATCTGGATGAATCAAAGGCCAACTTGCTTGGCTAAAAACATCTTTTTGTTCAAGCCTCTACCTGCTCTGTGTTGCTCCTACACTTGAGAAGCAGCTTTCTGACAGCACTGATTTTATGAAAAGAGCATAACTACTGTCAATTTTGAACTTAAAATAGCACCTCAAGCTTTGTCATTACTGCAGCCTGAAACTAATGATGTCTGTGTCGCTTCAAGTGATACCTTGAAAAATATATTTAATCCAACCAGTAGTTCACTTCTGTTACAAAACCTTTTTCCCACATGGCTCACAGTGTTATTAAGATAGATGAAAAAATGAAAGAAAAAGAGACCCTAGGGTGCAATTCATGTAACTATGGAAATGATTAGTATATTTTTTCTTAGAAAGCGAGAAAAAGCGAGAATAAAGTTTTAAAGAAAAAAGTTAAAGTTGTTGAAAATGGCACTGTATGTGTATCTTACTGCTTTAAAAAATAAAAATATTGCTCATTGAGGATGGGAATGTATCTTTTGTACTAGAGGTGCAATATGGTTTCTGTAATTTCAGCATAACAACAATTCAAATAAAGTCTATGCTTTTAAATCTTTATCACAGTACAGTGCCTTTGGAGAGTTTTAACACCCCTATTGTCTCAGGTTTAAGTATTCACCTCTTTTTTGTCTTGTGTTTTTTTTTTGTCTCTGCCACTAGGCTGGCATAATTTTTGCCCATTCTTCCCAGAAATGTTGTCCTCTAAAGCACATTCACTCTCTTCCCGACAGACCACTCCAGTGTGGCTTTGCTGACTGTGCTTCAGATCAAAGTCCTTCCCACTGAAATGTGGTTTGCTGACCCACTATGCAATTCTTGGCCGACTCAAGTACTGTAGGTTTTCCTCTAGGATCGACCAGTACTTTCCACAATCCATATTCTCCCCAACCCTGACACACCTGCCAGTCCCTGCCAGCACCATGCTTCCCAGTTGTGAAGGTGGGCAATATGCTGTGGTGATCTCGGGCCATAAAACACATACACTGTATTTAGACCACAGCCCTCAATATTTTTACTCACCTGACAACAAAACCTTCTGCCACCACTCAGTAGTATAAATCATGCAAGTTATATATATATAAGTTGAGGTAAGAAGTTCAATAAAGGTCCCTGGAACTATACAGAAGTCCTTGTTTTGCTAGGGGTTAAAAGGAGGTAAGACACTAAAGTACATTCAGTAGCAGCATGTATTGTCACGGGTAAATTCAGAGCAGTCTCTGAAGATCACAGGTAAATGGTCATTGGCCTCCTTTACAAGTTAGGGGATGGACACTAGAGGTCATCAAAGGTCATGGCAAAAATAGTAGCGTATGCAAATCTTTAAGATTTTTAAGATACGTCAAGAAGTTTCAATATTTCATTATTTTCTAAAACCTTTATAAGGATTCCTCTAAGTGTATAAAATTCCCCCTACATAAATTACTTTGGGGCCTAATATGATGGGTAATTAAGTGAATATGATTTTGATGAGATTAGTGGATGAATTATGCCAACTTTACAGTTGTATTCTGAGGAAGACCTCATTAGTTACTTCAAGTGTTCTTGGCAGTTCCATAAATTTGGGATTATTATTCAATTTAATTACACAGAGCGAGGACAGATGACTTAGTGGATTCGACTTTGCCATCAACACTTTGCATGTGGTACTGTAGTTTATTCTACCAATGAAAATATATGTAAATAGGTTTACTGACATAGTATAATGATATTTTAAAAAGGGCATTTATTCTGCACTAGGATAGATTTAAACTAACAATTGAAAGAATATGGGGCAGCATGGTTGTGCATTGGCTAGTATTTCTATGTCATAGTGCTGGGCCCTGGGTTCAGTCGTGGACCTGGGGTGCTATATGCGTGTAGTTTGTGTGTTTGTGCACACAAGTTTCCTCTCGGTGCTCCAGTTTCCTCACACATTCCAAAGACATGCTGGAAGGCTAATTGACTTCTGGGAAAACTGGCCCTGGTGTGTGTGTCTGCGTTTGTATCTGTGTGCGCCCGGTGTTGGACCGGTATCCCGTCCAGGGTGTATCCTGACTTGTGCCTGTTGCTTTCCTGGATAGACTCCTGCTCCACCACTGAACTGGGTAACACAGTCAGAACATGAATGGATAGAATTAATGTTTTGTTTCTTTAAAACTATTCCCTTTAACATCTTCAAGGCAATATAAACGGAAATGATGGTAAACAGCTAGAGGCACATGATTTTAAACAATGTTATACTGTATGCTCAAAACACAGCATGCGATACCAGAGTTATTCTGTGTAAACAGAATTCAATCAATCAATGAATTGCATAATTTAACATGTAGACCATGCCCCTTATTATTAAATAAAACAACAAGGTTTAAACAATTAAAAAAGACATAAGTAAAATCCAACTTTTACACGTGTCTCTCTCCGAAACATTTTACACTGTGCAAGAAAACAACCAAAGATAGCAGTAAAGTCACTTAGCCATGCCCTTTTAAAACATGATTCCTCTTCGCAATGGATTTGCAGATCTGCTCTATGAACTTTCAGATTCGAACAAGAATCTCCTGCTTCTCATATGGGCGGAGCGGTGGCTCTGTGGCTCAGGATCTGCGCCTGTGACTGGAAGGTTGCCGGTTCAAATCCCGCGGCCAGCAGAGGAATCCCACTCCGTTGGGCCCCTGAGCAAGGCCCTTAACCCCAACTGCTCCAGGGGTGCCGTACAATGGCTGACCCTGCGCTCTGACCCCCAGCTTCTCTCCCTGTCTGTGTGTCTGTGTCTCCATGGAGAAAAGCTGGGTTATGCGAAAAGACGAATTCCTAATGCAAGAAATTGTATAGGGCTAATAAAGAAATATTATTATAAATCTGCCTGCTGTTTCATCTTCCACTACTCCAGCATGGTCCCTGCTGCATTTCCCATTACTGCAATCCCTGACATCAATAATCACGGCATTGCCTTCAAAAGAGAATGCCACAATTTATTTCCATCTATCTGAGGTCCATAATAAGCAAGCTCTCTCATTGTCAGGGTCGGAGGTCACGGTCCATCATCTAAAGGCAAACACTGAGGAACCAGAAGGGTGGACACCAGAACTGTGTGATGTTGTACCTTACAAGTCAGCACACATCTCATTTTTGCTGGTTAACCTATTGGCTCCTCTTCTCCCTCCAACTACCCTGGCACATGACTGCATGCAGTCCGAGTCAGGACCTACCTTTTTTCAAGACAAAAAACTTTCGATTCAGTCAATAAAGAACACGATTCTGTACAAGCTATTCTGTCTGCACAGAAGAAATCTTGTCTTTCACAAACCAAGAGCTGGAGTTTTTTTTTTGTCTGCATTCTGAATATCCAAGCAACTAGTGTGAAAAGCTATAGCTGGGAAAAACTGAGATTCTCCTACCCATCTTACTTGCAGTCGGACCCAGGCAGACAACTGTGCATTTATTGTCTTAAGGCTGAAGCATAATGGTAGCCGCCTTGGAAAGCTTTCTCCAGCAATATTAATCAAGAGAGCTTCTCTCTCTCCTCTCTGCACTGGGATACTCATTGCACAGAGCAAGCAGCTGACCACTCAGACCAAGGGACCAGACTATCTCCATCACAGCAGCCGGTTTAAACTAGCCAACAAATGTTTGGCCAATGGATCTTTGAGTATAAAACTTCTTTATTCACATTATGATTCTTGAGAGTTGAACGATTATTCCAAACACATTTGATAATTTTGTTCACAACAGTAAATGCATATAAATTTGTTTGTGAGAGTACACATGTGAATGTTACTGTAACTATATAACACTGATAAAACCGACAAGATAGACCGTTACATGTTATAGTCAATATATTTTACCTCTGACGTTATTAGTTCTTGTCTTTGTAATCCCTGAGGAAACAAACCTCCACAGCAGATCGATTCACAAATATATTCCATTACTCTTGAGACTTTGTTATGCATGTTTTGGTAGTGTATCAATAAATTGTATACTGTACTGTATATTTGGAATCCGTGTGTAAATTATTATACATTTGAATCCAAACAGTCGTCAAAGCACTCTTGCAATTTTCTATTGCAGTTTTTAATTGTTCCAGTAAATGCAAAACCCTCACCTCGCTACAATACACAGCAATCAAATATACTTCAAGGTGCTTTAGGTCTCGTGAGAAAAAAATGTATGACCATAAATTAATCTTTACCTTCTCAAGAATGAGACGTTGTAACAAGCTTGCTGATGCTGTCATTCAGCGTTTGCAAGAATAACAGGCTTTAACATTTGGCATGATTTCACATGCTTCCAACACTTTTATCACGCAATGTTCTTATGTTTGTTGATGCATCTAACCACCATGGCTATACTGCTGATGAAGTGTCCCAATAATGTTTTTGTCTTATTCAATCCTTTCTTTGTAGCATTAAGTTGCTTAAAACCATTTTAAATGGCAGGCACATACGTTTGATCACTTACTTGCTTGCTTATAAACATAACTGTAACATGGATGTGAAAGTTCTGCAATTGAATCATCACTCGAATGTCACATATTGTGTATTGTAACTACAGTATGTTACAAGGAACATCCTTCAGGGTTACTGCAAGCAAATGTGTCTGTGAATCATAGCAGGGATATATGAACACTAATGACCTCCAACCATTTCACAGTTCGAGAGGGCAGACCAATCTAAAGAGACTTCTTATTGTGCTTTGCGTATATTAGCTCAAAGTAGGCACAGACTTTTCTCTCTTATTAGGGATCATCAGCATTGCATAAGCCTATTTCACTGTTCAGAGAACAGCTCCAGTATGCAATGCTGATGAGCCCTAATAAAATCAATACTGCTCCTTGTGCTTCCTTTCTTTGACTTACTGTAATAGACACAAATGAAACAATACAAAATACATTACTTAAAAAAAATCAATGAGACACTATTTTTATAGGCTTTTCTACTTTTTTTGGAAACACAATCTAAGCACCGCAGTTAAGACTATGTGTTAAGCAATGTGCATTCAGACAAATGACCTATGAGGTATATAGTATACAGTATATGAAACTATGGCTGAGCTTGCCCCTGCACCTCGTAAAAGTGAATTAATAATACTTCACCATAAACTTCACCTCTCTCTGTGCTGCACTTTTTTTTTTCCTAAACAAGTGTACATAGCTTTTGGTCTTGGTATCTGTAATGATTTTTTCCTACTAATGGGCTGTAGTTACAGACTTTAGCAGTGATATTTAACCTTAAAATAATATGTGTCTAAAACGTCTGAAAATTGAACTATTTCTGCTTAGGTAAAAAGGTACGTGGAACCACAAGGGAACTAATTAACCTTTAAAATTGTTACATCTATTTATAACATCCAGGGAAAGGTTCTTTAGGGAAGCTTATGTCTTTTTGTACTGCCTTGAGGAAAAGGAAAGAATCACAGGTAAACATTCTTGAAAGGTAACTATTAGAGTATTATATATTGACCGCTGCTGACAAATACCACGTTATTATCAATTACTTGCCTTTATGACCATTTGCAGCAGTGCACCAGACAGGCTGGGACTGTTGCAGGATTGCTGTTGCCGTCACTGGGATAAGATGAAGTAAAAGGTAATTTTGCAAACAGCTGTGGCCCCAGAGAAGGAGTAGCCACTGGGGAAAAAGTCAATCATGTAATATTGTGCCTTTATTAATAGACTGTGCTGCTTAGAAACCGTCGCCATACCCATAAGGTCTCACAGAGGGGCTCAGTCATTAGATCTTAAAAGCATTTTACTTTCAAACCTTTAAATTCCTTCCTTAAATAAAGAAATTGCTAAGTGTTAAACACAAAGTGTGTTATACACTGTCCCAAGCAGTCTAAAAATCTGTTGGACCTCCAAGCAAACTAAGACAAGTACAGCACCATTTCAGAGACAAAAACTCTTATCAGTTTCTGTATCTCATAATGAAGTACTGTTACGTGTATGGATTTCTGCAAAGTGTTCACTTTAACATACACTGATGTTCAACAAATTTTAAAATCCTTGGAGTAGACTAGGAGTAGCTTAGTGTTTCACAAAGATTTTATCGTGCTAGATTACATAAATATTTTTTGGCCAGAAATCCAGATAATAAAGTTTTATATTACATGATCATGAGTGGACACAGAACCTTTTCCACTGCTTATAGCATTCTTAATTCTGTTCGACTAGATCTGGAATTAAGTGCGGGTAAAAATAAAGAATCCACCCACCTCTTTCAGACAGTTAAAAAGCAGACTGTATTTATGTCGTATCAAACCAGTAAACTAGTAAAGCTAAAACTTTCTCCACTTTAACTGTGGATTCTTCTTCCACTGCTGCTGGTGCATAATGGCTACTGCCTATCGCCCAGCTGGGCGGTGCTCTACAATACTCTGGGGCCCACTGAGGCAAAGAATACAAAAAAAGCAATTAAATTCCTATCTTTCCAAACAGGATGGAATGATGAGAATTTCTAAAGGTACAGCAAAACTTGTAATACATGGGTTATCCACAAAGAACAAGAGCATTAGTAAACAAGATTTACTAATAACAAATATGGACCTGCTGGTTTATCTTGTCATTTTGCAATGGGTCTATGATTAAATTCATACACATTAAATTATTCATATTGGCTTTAGTCTACATGCGTGCAGAGACCCCTTAGGACTGTATGAATAATGTCATCCAATGTCAATGATGAACACTATTTATTAATGTCTGTATAGTTCAGTCACAACATACTCATTGATCTTTCTCTTACCTTTGTGGCCCTACTTAAAACACAGCAGTGCTCAGTCAGCAGATGTTGTCTACATTATGCCTCTGGGATATGCGTTTTTCTGCAAGTCTTAAACTACTG